AGCCGACAATGCTGCCAAGTTATTTTATCAATAAAATATCAATCCCTTTGGTAACCGCATGGTTTTGCTACCACTTCCATACAGGTTAGGTTATTATCATAATATAGATATATATCCAAATGCATTCCAAAAGCATAATGCACAATTGTCAATATATGCCCATGACTTTTTATTTCTCAAAAGGTTGGTGTGCACAGAACATAATATGAGAATGAGAATCTTGCCTTATATAAAAAAGGCATTATAACTTTTCTGGTGGAGAATTTGCTGGTCTCTAAGGAGGCCATTGTTTTGCCAGGAATATTTCACAGTATGGCTTTAAATGTAACAATCACCCAGGGGAGAGACAAGGAATGCCACCAGTCTAAAATACAGATGAGATCTGTGCAGAGTGGAGCCCATTCACAGTAAAAATATATGTTTGCCAGGCATAATTATTCATAAATTTGTTTAAAGACAAGCAGAACTTTAGAGCCAGTTCTATAAGAAAATGGCAGCCTTGAGCTGCATGGAACAATGCTGCTGCTTTACCATCTATCCACATGGTTGACTCAGGGCTGCATCATTCACTGTCACAATTGATTATTTTGATTGGTCAAAGCAGAGCCAGGCAGGCGCACTGGAGAACATTGGTAAACACAGGCAGAACTGGCTGATGATGAAGATGGATTTCATAACTGCAGAACAGAGCACGTGAACGCAGCTTGACGGGGCATCCCGCATGACCCAGCCGTGAAAGGGAGAAGTGGCATATCTCCGTTTAAAGGGGCGAGATGGGAGTGCGTGTGACAGTTTGGGGGCAGCCTTGGGGAGGGGGGGTCAACAAGGGGGATGGGGGAAAACGATGACCATAAAGGGAGACTTCACATGCGAGTGCTGTGTTTAAGACTCCAGACATTTACAACAGTGAGGAGGAGGAAGCATACACGCAGTCCATTTCAGTCAGTGCCTTTGCTGTTTGATCTGATTACTCCTTATGCTTTGGCAATAGCAGCGCGGCTCTTGTGTCAATAAAGCACAGTGTAGTGAAGTGAACAAAGGCAAGAGCACAGCAGAGATAGAGGCAGAGAATATGAGTTAAGCAACAGCGTCTAGGGAATATTTAGCTTATCGCTGCTAGTTCAAAAGTCAAGACTCGCCTGGGCCACAGCTCAAAGATTAACAGCAATCATTAACACAGAGGTGCAGAGCGTCATTATAGGAGCCACTGAGATGGTTCAAACTTCTTGGTAAACTGTATACATGGTGAGTACATAAGAATGGTATAGACCAAAGGAGGAACTGGGCAATTAATTTAATTATTTAGACATCTAGCACTGAAGAAAAACTTTAAGCTATTAATATCATGAATAATATTAATAATTTGGTTTATGTGGCGGTTTGATAAGGCATTAATAAGAGAATCTGACAAGTCTAGTTAATAGTAAATATTAGTAGTACATATTAGATTTAGAGTACATAATAGAGTAGCAAAACAATTATTATTCTGAAATGTATGTCAACGCAAGGTATGCTCAAAATGTTATCTATGATTGTAAAGGATAAATCGCAAATCCACTGGCAATGTTTTAATGTTGATGCAAGAACTTTTTCAAACTTTGACTTTTCTTTTCTTTGAGCCCAGAGAAAGCCCTGAACAGACATTTACAGAAATTATTTTAGTCTGATGTCTGCAATGCATTTTCATTAGCAACCGATATCACCACATTTTGGGCCCTGGGGCGCAAATGAAAAGTTCAAGTTTGAAATAACAAACTGTGACAAATGCTTTTGGCCAGCGATCCTGAAATAAAGCTGCTCGCACTTGGTAATAACCTCCACTATCCACATCATCTACGCGTCCATATGCCCCCACCTCGGCCCGGCCCCCCTCCCTCCACTCCGGCCCTGTTAAAGCGATCAGGCCGCTTAATGCCCTCCGCTAAATGAGCTTTGATCTCGTTAGCGCAACACAAAGCCTCTTTACTGCCAACGATAGGACAAATCGGCTCTCGCAAGGGGAGGAGAGGAGATGGACGGAGAGAGTGAGAGAAAGTGGACTAAGGGTCTGACTGGCCACAGCGCTGCCTGCAGGGAGCACATCAAAACAAAAGAGTGAAGGATGAGAGAGACGCGTGAGGCATGAAGGACAATGAGCAGGAACTGATGTGTGCTGATGTGCAGAGGGGTGCAAAGGTATTCTCCTCCTTCTGAGTTAAGAGGAGACCACAATCCACCTCTGGGGCTACCTGTGCTGCAGCAATATAACACACTAGTATGTTACAAGTAGTGGCGTTCCTATACAAGTGAGCCTCCCTGTGTTGTTTCATAGCATGATACTCGCATTGTTTCGCATGAACAGCTGCATATTTAGGATTTAGGAATATTGATGGTCCTGCACATATGGATATTTTGGTCTGGACTTCCTACTTTTATACCAAAAAATAAGTTCTGAAGGTAAAGGTTGGGGGATGGCACTCAGATTGTCTGTGAACCAGGAGTCAATTAGCAATCTGGAAAGCAGCCTGGGGCAAGCTGGGGTGGGGTGGGGGTAATCAGAGGACAGCCAGAGGGGAGCAGGGGTAAAAAACGGGGGTCCACACGGGCTATGTATGTATGTATGCATGAGCACAAGTGGGGGAGGAGAGCCGGAACAAAAGGCAGCAGGCCCAGTGCTGCACGCTCATTTATTATAAAAAGCCTGATTTACAGTCAGAAGGAAGGTCAGCGCCTCCACTACACCTCCGAATGGGAGTGCTATGGTAATGGCCAGGCTCATTTAGATATGAGAGCCTCCGCTGCATCAGTCTTGGCCACCCCATGCACGTGCTCTGCCACAGTAAACCATCCATGAGGCACACCTTGACAAATACGCTGACATTTCCCCAGAATGTCATTTCATTTTATATTTACCTTAGCATGAAGCCAGAGGGTTACTCCGCTCCTAATCGTCATTCATAGCCTCTCCTCCTGCTTATCTGCAGCACTCTCCATGGCATCCCTGTGATCCATCAGCCATCTCCTCTGCTTTATCATGATCCCTAATGGTACTGGCCTAATGGTCCTATATACCTCTTACTGACCGCCTTATCCTTGGCGTCATCCTTTATTTGACCCACCTGTCCATCCATCCAGCACATGTCTGACATGAGGTCATCTCCAAGAATGACCTCTATACTGTGCTCATGGAACAAGGAACATAAATATATAATATTTGAATTATTTATTAAAGTACTGCTAAGGATGAGTTACTAATATTTCCAGGGACAGTGTCAATGTGTAAAACACCAGGCTGACATATTAACATGCTGATAATGCACCTTAAATAATATCACCCCCAAAATATCTCGCCAAACGTAAACACACAGGAAAAAAATCTTATGGCAATGTTGTGAGTTCTTTTGGCAAAAGAACTTGAACCATCTATCAAATTCACTTTCATTGTATGCTTCATATGAAATTATGGTACGGTAGTATAGCAATTAAGAAGGTGAACTTTCTCTGAAACATCGGACATATGACAAAACTATTCAGAGTACACTGATATACAACTAAAGTATATAAGGCAATTTATCATGTGTATTAAAAAGCTGCCACTTTATCAAATATGAAGCTAGGGCCCAATCTTAGCAGTTTAGATCCAGCCAAACATATGTTTGTTTTGCTTCACCAAACTGTGCCTTGCTGTCCAGCCATTAATCAACCCCCCCCCACCCAGCACCCTTCATTCTCTCTCTCTCTCTCTCTCTCTCACACACACACACACACACACACACACACACACACACACACACACACACACACACACACACACACACACACACACACACACACACACACACACACACACACACACACACACACACACACATACACACACACACACACACACACACACACACACACTAGAGTGAAGCAATCGATACAACTGATGGGCAGAGAGAATGGTCCCCACGCCGCTCTGCTCATCGTCACATCATCTTTGCCGGCGGGCTATAACCTTTCCCCATCATCGTGTCCATCCGTTGTGAAGTTATCAGACATTACACGCCATATGTTTGGCTCTGCAGCCGCTCAGACACACAGCCAATTAAAGTATTTCAGCAGCTCCCCAGGATTCAATTACATCCAGGTAACCCCTGAGCCTGCCCCAGTGCCCCTGCCCTGCACAGTACTTTGGACTGTTTCCTTTAACTAAGCACCACAGTGCTGCTGGCTTATGAAGGCATATGTGAGGAGGAGGAGGAGTTCAAATGATGCATGTGTTTATGGGAGAAGGAGACAGAGACATAAACAAGGGTAGAATTGCAGAGTGCAAACGTGAGAGGTGCATTCTGCACTCCAGCTGAAGCCTGATTTACAGTAATCTACATAGACTGGACCGGCTCACTAATGCTGCCTCAGCACTGCTGTGAACATGGGGAAGACCCATGTAAGGAGACGGGCCCCTAAGCCCCTCTCTTCTCCTGCCTTCGCCCAAAAGACTCTGTTCTTTGTCTTTCACTGTGCTGACCCCTCCCCCATCCCGTCTCCCTCTCTCTTAACACCTAGCGACAATCATAGGGGCACCCAGTGATTAATACCACATGTAGTGTGTATTTAGATTTGAAGGGTGACTGGCCGCAAATAAACACAACACCATACTTGACTCTTATTATGGATATAACTAAAGATGCAGGCTTCGCCCCATGTGACAGTGTATGGGTTTACTCTCCATACAGAATGGCATGATGAATGGCTCTGATCTTTGCTGTGCTGCTGCCTGTCATAGCCATGGAGCCTGGATCATATTACCTTTGTCTGCCTAGCTGTAGTCTCCCTTCTCCTCAGTTATTTCACCAATACAGCACTCATTCTTAAATCTCACCTTGCCACTACATTAAGTGCTTCACCATTTGCTGCAATGATGCATGAGCATATTGTTGATGAGAGAAAGGTGTCTAGCAAAACATTGCAAATCCTCTGTGATACCAACAAAAGCCAAAACCTAACATGATGTGTTTAGTTTATCACACTCTTACCTGTCCTATGTCTCCAACAACAGCCCCGGTGCCTGGATCTATCCTGGGTCTTTTGCACTCCGCCCCGGCCAGGTCAGTGAGGGCAGCGGCTGTCTGCGCGTCAGGCTCCGGGTCTCCCCTCTTCATGCCTCGCACAGCTGCTGGGACCCCGGTCGCGCTTGCATGGGCTCCAGCCGCAGTATCAATGTCCCTCTCCCGGTCCATTATTCCCCGACTAACGGGAAGCATTAAAGATGCAACGTCGGTCGACATTAACATTGGACAGCAGACAGTCTCCAGTCAAAATGTCTTTGCGTAGCGTTCCTTTGTAATAGTCCACAACCCCAAATGTAAAATGCCCTTTCCCAAAACACGCACACAAAACTGCTCTAGAAATATATTATTACTGGCAGCATTTACACTTTGTTGTCAAAGTTTCCATTTGCTTGTCGAAACAAGAACATAGTGCCAATTGAAATGGTATAAATGTGACAGACACTCAATATAGAGAAATTAAGGATGCCAAACAGTGACCTATTTCAATAAAGACCACACGTCTGACTCCTGGATGCCTGACAAGCTAATTAGCCAGCTAACATTAGCTAGCCCGCTAGCATTACATTCCGCTAGCTCTCCTTATAAATGTGGCTCGGAGAGCGCGCTCTTCGCTGCCAATAATGGAAAATGTTGAAATGAGCACCGCGTAGCCAAGTACTTTGTCCTTCCACAGCTCGCCCGGTCCTCTCTCCTCCCGCCTGTAGTGTTTGAGCCCGTGTTGTTCCAGCAGCCTCTCCTTGGTTCAGTCCTTTCTCTCACAGCTCCTCTCCTCGCAGCGCTGCTGTGGATGTGTCTTGGCGTGTGGACCTGGCTCTACACGGTTTCCTCTGGTTTAGGTCCCAGCTGGTGGAGCCCGGGAGCCTGCGCACGGCTGATCCACGGTCAGATCTGTATGGACACCGGGCTGCGAGAGAGAGGACACGGAGCTGAGGTGGGCTGGCCCAGGGTCTGTACATTCTCAGTCTCTCCTTATTTTCCTAAATCTCATCACCACACCTCCACGCACCCCCGTCCCCCACCCTTTCTCTTCACTCACTTTATTTTGTGGCTTGGAGACGTAACCATTACGCCATCCACATGTCTTTCTCCATAAAGAAAATAATCAAGATAGAATGAACGCATCAACAGGATCTACTTTAAAATGTACCCTCCAGTCAATTTAATTCCAAATGATCATGTGTGGTTAAATTTTCTAAATTTAATCCCTGTAGACATAAATAGGCATTATATTATATGCATTATGCTATACTACTATGCCGTATGTCGGGTCATGCCCATAACAAACTAACAATATTATGGTTGGCCAACATTTTATTCAAATAATAGGCTAATTGGTAGGCCACCATATTCCAATAGGCAAATTGGAGTAGGCTACTCCAATGGGTCCAATATGGTTTTCTATAGACTACGGAACTGTAGCAAACATAGGCCTATAAAATTTGAATAAGCAAATGTAGGCCTACATACAGTTTCAAATATGATAAGGAACTAATTTCAACACAGTGGGCTGACAGGGGCACCGCATATGTTAATTGATGGTGCTTTAGCGCTCTCTGCTGGAATGTAATAGAAGTGCCTCGAAGGTGGCCCATGAAACGTGCAATTTGCTCAGTATAGGGAATATATACCTTTTTTTCTTTTACAGTATACTACTGTGAAAAAAGGTGACTTCAATATTTGCTATTCACTTAAAAAAATATATATCTCTTCACATGTTCTGGAAATGAAATCTGAACAAGGACGCCTGCAACCCCTTTCATCCTCTAATTTCAAACATGAAATGAAGAGATGGTGTAGCCTACTCAGATCAAATCAGGCTAGGGCTATAAAAATGTTAACTCAGTCATTAACAATAGAAGTAGACATAATGTACAAAAGTATTTTTAGTGAGCCTTTTATTGAAATTCAGTTTGAAGTTTTACTAGTAGTAATGTGATAACACACACACACACACAAAAAAAAGGCTATTTGGCTAGTTATTAAAAGAGCGTCAAGGAATAGGAATAGGCTAGGTTAATAATATAATTTGTTTAGTATGTTTTTGAATATTTCACAGTAAATATACTGAATAGGCTACTCAGTTAAAACACTTTTTTCATCATCAAGACAATTTACTTTTTTTTACACATTACATTATTGCTTCACTAAAGTCTTGTAAGATGACCACTTAAAAAGTGTTAACAAAGTGTTTCTTGGTCTTAATTAAATTTTGACAAAATATGCAGTTATGCAGTACAGTTTTTATTTTGTAGGTCAGGCCTGCTGATTTGGACTTGTTGTTCAAGTAACATAAACAGTAGTAATATAAACATAAATATTGTTATATTTATTATATTATATTTATTTCATAATTATATTATTCTTATTATTTGTAAACTGAGTTTTGTTTCATTGGCGTTGCAGACAAACACACAGGCAAAAATGCAATAAAATGTCATATGTTTTTGAAGTTTTCCAAAATGAAAAGATAGACATAAACATAACACGAAAATAGATTTTTAAAATTGAATTTAGTAATAATTTTAATGTGAACTGATGTTGAATAGTTTAGTAACACCAATGACAATACAGTGTAACACCAATGACAACAGCATAACACCATTACCTCTACATTAGAAAGCTTCTGTTTATTCAGTAGGCGGCTGTAACACCAATCATAAATGTCTATAAAATGTAACTTTTCTTTGCTGTAAAAGAGGGGAACACCAATGACATTCCAAAATAAAACATGGTAAAATTTTAGTTTAGTAATTTTAGTTTCACTGAAAGAGTCTTCTTGCCATTTCTGATCTGAGCAATATTTAGCTCACACATTAAAAAAATAAATACACATAAAATACTGGGCAGTAATGCAAAATTGGGGGACAGATTCAGTTATTATTTCATTGTTTAACCCAAGTGTTTGTTTCGTTACGCATACATATATATGTGTTTTTTTGGGTAGAAATTCATTAAATTTAATTAAATTAATTAAAAACACACACACACACACAATTATGATCTGAAACTGAATCCATCATCATTGTACAAAAGTGAAAAGATGTTTTATATATATATATATATATATATATATATATATATATATATATATATAATATATATATATATATATATATATATATATATATATATATATATATATATATATATGATATATATATGATATATATATATATATATATATATATATATATATATATATATATATATATATATATATATATATATATATATATATATATATATATATATACACACACATACATATACATATATAGAGGGGGAGCCTCCTCAAAATTGGCAAAGTTAGAAGCAGGTTTATTCACGTTTTGCTTTCGACGCTTTTGAAATTAAAGAGCAAAAATGTCAAGGCTGCACGAGTGTTTCAGACCACAGTATGGACTTTGTTTTTAAAAATACATGGATTCCGAGAATAAGAGTTAAACTGTTCGGCCTTAACGAACTTTCATAAATGTAAAAAAAAAAAAAAAAAAAAAAAAAGAAAAAGAAAAAATGGCGCACACGTAATGCACTTTCCTAACTTTCGTTTTTACAGATTTCCTGGGAACTACACCAATTATTTTGCTTTTAAAAATACATAGATTCCTAGAATAAGAATTATGCTGTTCGGCTTGAACCCACTCTTATAAATGTAAAAAGTGCAATAAAATATCCCACACGTAAAGTATCTAAAGTTGTTTTAACTTTCGTTTTTGCAGATTTGTTGCGATTTCCTGGTAACTGCCCAGGTGGTTTCTGCGCTATATGAAGTCATCCACTGCCGCAGCAGCTGATTGGTTCAGTCTGATGTCTGTCGCTCACATGGACCAATTGCATCTCTGAGCGAACACAAAGGGGCGGGACAACACCAGATGTAAAAGAGTACGCAGCGGTTTTCTGTCGGTGATGTGATTGTTTTTCTGATAGTTGGTTAGAGAAAACGCGAATAGCTTTCCACGCACTCAAGGTTTGTTTTCTAATGCTTTGTGTCCTCTGTAAAACATAGGGGCGGTTATGTATATCAATGCCTTTGGATTTAGACAAAGGGGTGACGCATTGGTTTTTCATTTTACAGACTTAGCAAGTACACACCTCAATCATCATGGCTGTGGAAGGATGTGGCCTCGTCTGCAAGTATATCATCATCCTATTCGACTTCATCTTCGCGGTACGTGTCTGAAACAAATGAGGCAGTTCATGTTCCGAGGGGCTCATAAGGGTCCTTGTAATTTTTCTTAATTTATTTCTGTTTGTCCAGCGTCTCACAAAAGAGAACTCTCAAACTCATGGACATGTAAAACATTAAGGAAATCTTCAACATTTGTCTCTACCAGTAAGACAGAGACAAAATCTAACTTAACAGCCAAACCGAGCTCTAAACACATTTTCTCTACATGACTCTAAATAAAGACACAATATGGCAGTACCAAAACAAGTGCCTTCACTTCCAAACAACAGAAACGGCATTCACCATTCTCTGTCATATTCAAAATTGTTTACATTTTCCATGTTTGCAGGGAAGAATATATAATATTAATTTGGAATAAATCAATAATAATAATAATAGTAATAATAATAATAATAATTATTATTATTATTATTTTTATTATTGTTATTATTATTGATAATACTACTACTACTACTACTACTAATAATAATAATAATAATATAACATTTACAAAAACATACAAAAACATTTACAAAAATAATGCACAATTAACAATTATGTATTTGCGTAGTCAAATATACACGTTGTGGAAGCTACTGTGTGTAGCTGTACAAAAGTGTGCCCATTGGAACTCATTCAAATCACTTTTTTTAACCTGCGTAATAAGACATGAATCTTCTCTTTCGCTACATCATCTGAACCATCTGGTTTCACATTCATGTATATATACTAAATATACTTAACAATTTTAATATATTAAAATTATTAATGTGATAATATACAGTTACTTCATATGTGAGGTGAGCGAATACTTTTGGCAATATAGTGTATATATAATATAATAGATATAGATAGATGTTTCTAAACCATTATGTTGTACTAGTGATAATATATTTCATACTTCTATTATTGCTACTACATTTGTATCTGGACCTTATAATTACCTCATCAAAAACTAATGTTTACAAAAAAGTCCTGTCTTCCACACTTCCTAGACTCTAATCCCAGAGAAACTCACCTACTCAAACTAAACTGTAAGGTTTTTTGACATAGTCTTGATATTTTCCATATAGTAAAGTGTATGGATGAACAGGTTTAGGACGTATGTATCTGATACTGTAACCCTGCTACTCTAATACATACGTGGAGTAAACACTGTCTTTCACTGTTCTCTGGGACTCATGCATCAAAAATGCAAAAAGTTATGCAAGAAACAAAAGTCAAAAAGCACAAATATGCTTTTGGTTTGTGACTGGTTGTACAGTCTCTATGGACTGATCAGGAGGACTGGGTATTATTAAGAAGTTGCAGATACGATACATACCTTGATACAGTGAGCTTTCAGTTCGATATGATATATTTCAAATTGATTTGATACGATTCAATAAAAAATAATTTCAAAATCATGCCTCTGACACTAAAAGTCTTTGTTAAACCATGTCTTGTGCAAAGTTAAAAGGAAACACTAATTTTAATCATCAAGTCAGTGAAATGTTAAATGTGTTGCAAAATTAGTTTCCTTCCTCTAAACATGCAACAGAACTGTAGTGCTGTAACAAAATAATGTAGTAAAATATACAAAAAAATACTCTTGGTGTTGATACAGCAGCCTGTTATATTGATACTGTTTACTGTTACATGTATTTTTGCTTTCCAATGTCTTAGTTGATGTGATGTTCAAACCAAATTAGTTTTTGCAGTTTCTGTCTCACAACATCACAGCTCAAGTACAAGGTTGTCTGGTTTTCTTATAAATACATTTCAAACACTTCTTGTATATAAACTAGTAAAACAGATTCAAGAAGATATAAGTAACCCTTGGGAAAGTACTACTGTTTTTAATTACATACAAATTTTTAGTGCCTTAGTGGTTTACTTTCACTTCTCTTGTCACCAGGTGCTAGGCATTGGTTTTTTGGGACTTGGTCTTTGGCTGAGGTTCAGCAACAACACAAGATCAATATTTGAAATACAGGAACTCAACTCAAGCGCATTTGTGATTGGTGAGTAATAAAGAAACAAATGTTGTTTTGAAAAATACTTCAGGTTTTTGGGTGTAATCATTACGGATTTTCCAAAGGGGTGACGGTGCTGATCGTGCTCGGTGTAGTGATGCTGATTGTTGTCACATTTGGAGACCACGGAGCGTGCAGTGAGAAGAGGTGTTCTCTGCAAGTGGTAAGATAAAGCTGTGACCACATATTGTACTGTGAGATCTAAATGAACTCATAGTGGCATAGTTACAGTTCCTTCCTGTACATTTTCTACAAGTCAACAAGTCCATGTAAAAACGAACTAAAGAATGTAAGATAATTTCATTTAAGACATTAATGTTTGTCTCTTAATATCTCTAGTTCATTTGCCTTGTTGCCATCCTTGCTGGAGCTGACATAATTATCGGAGTGCTGGCCTACACCAAACGTGATGAGGTAAGAAGTCAGAGAAGGAAAGAGAGAGAGAGAGAGAAAGATTTCAACAGACTCTTAATATTTTCCTTCAATTCTGCAGGTCGGATTGCGGGTGGCAGAATTCTACACCAGTTTGTATGGAGTGTATGTGGCCACTGCAGACCCGGCAGTAGCTGTCACTCTCACATTTGTGCATAAAATGGTTAGTCTTATCATTCCACTTTCTCTTTTACAAATTAGTGAATTTCACCTCACAAACTATTATTTTCCCTCATGCATTTGTTGTAGATTCACTGTTGCGGTTTGACAGGTGTCTCACTGATAGAACTTGGCAAGGACATCTGCCCGGCTCCACAGGGACTAATGGAGAATTTTAAGATGGCTGTAAGTAGCTGTCATACTAACACATAAATATAATTTTCTTAGGCTGCAAGTTCAAAGCATTGTTATATATACAAGAGCTGTGACATTTCTTTACAGAGCTGCCCATCAGAAATATCTACTGCCTTTTCCAGCAATGCCCCTGTTGTGTTGGGCATCTTCCTTGGAACCGGGGCCCTTTTGGTAGGCAAATGTCTTTTTGGATGTCTATTTTGTCATATCTGTTTTATTGCACTATTTTTAATTGATAATGCAATTATACCAGTGAATTATTATTCAGTAATTGTAATAGTAAATTAATATATTACTACATGTGAAAGAAGAAGGTCTTAGATAATGGAATATTTGCATGGGGCTTAAAATGGGAAATAGTTTTGTCTTTTTCTGAGGTGAATTATATTAACCATGCCATTATTGTATCTCCTGTTCTCTCCTCTCATGCACATAACTGCTATGTTAATTTTTATTTCGCTTAACTTGACCTCCCAGATCACAGCCCTCATCTGCAGCTCTATTCTTGCTAAAAAGATTCACATGGATGCTGCGTCTCCTCAATACATCATTCTGCGTTCCCCTCCCTCCTTTAACCCCCAGCACCCCCAGGACTCCCAGCCTGTGGTCTTCACCCCTCTCTCTGCGGCCAATCTTCCTATTGCACAAGCTTGAATCTAACAGCTTTTTATATAGGGCTGGGAAATGGGACAAGATTTTATTGAATTATGTTTTTTAAGTTTCAAGGATAATTGTTTCATCTTTGAGAAAAGTAGTCAGACAGTGGTAAAAAGCAATTCATGTATTATTAAGTTCCATTTCGTTTGTCTACACCACTTGTCAATAATACTGTCAAATCAATAAAGGGCCAGGAATACATTGAAATAATAGAAGTATAATAATAGGAGAAAAAGAAAAGCTTTAACTTGCTCTGGTAAGTTATTAAAACAGACAGTGGGCCAAAATCCACAAAGAATAGCCCACACAATACATTCAATTAAATCTTGTTCCCTAGCCTTTTTTCTCTTACCCATGCTCATGTCGTTTTTTTTGTTTTTTTTTTTCTTTCCCTTGGAATCAATAGTCTCTTTCGCTCTTTCAGTTCCATTAAGCATGTGCCTTTTCCTGGTGTTTGGTTAACATAGTGAGACATAGAACATCCTCTTTAGTATAATGCTGAAATATGGGTTGGTTGTTGCAGTTGCACAGTCTCTGCTCTTCACCCCTTCACCCCTTCCCGTCTCTCTGTACCAGATTGTTGCACTGGTCTGTTCAGTCATCCTCCACAGTCATCTTAACAGAAGCCAGCGTGCCATGGAAAGCTACTACTCCAAAGTGTACTAAGAAGACCACATTTCAAGATAATTGTGTTCAAGAGGGATATAGCTAATGATTCTGTTTTATATGTTAATTGTAATGATGGCAGCAAGGAGTCAAACATGCCAGTGCAGACCGCGGTTACGTGTAGGGGGGAAAACACCACCTAAAATCATAGACGGACTAGCTCAGTCACATCCTCGTATTGTGCTCATCATAGGTCACTCGACTGTTCAGAAGCTGTCAGAGGTTTAAAATCCCTGTGTTCATGTATCAGTCCATTATGCAAGACAATTGAGAAAGCTAGTTAGATTTTAATTTTTTTTTAATTTAAACAGAATTTGAAAATTATGTGATACGACAGTGGATTATGTACGTAATTGATCATTATGTTACAGATTTACGTTCATTAAATGTTCATATTTTATGTACATGAAGGGATCATTTGTGTGTTAAATGTATGGGGACCACATTTCATTTTATTTTCATCAACAGAAAAAGTCAGAGGCTCCTTGAAGATTAATCTTGGTTGTGACAGTTTTAGTTTACTAATTGACTCATCTTAAGTTAATAATTTTAGAAAAGAGTTGGTTGAGGACCACTTTTGTGATACACTGGAAATTTCATATTTTTGTTATCATTTCACGTTTGTAAACATTAGATTTAAAGCATATGTGTTTGTCAACAATAAAACAAAGTGATTTAACCAGTCTTGTGTCCTTGTAGAAAAAAGCCAATCATGCATATTTTTTGTGAACATTATATTAGTCTGGTTTGGGTTGTTTTCAATTAAAAATATGTTCTAGTATTGATTTTAATTAGTGTATAATCAACAGTATTGATCCAAGTTTCCCCATTTTCCCTCACTTAACTGAATGACATACTGACAACTATTTCTAACATTTACTCAGTTTCAGTAAAGCAGGAAAAAAATAATCTGGGTGTTTAATGTGACAGAACAGACTATAAGCATCAAAAAATGCCTTAAAAAGTAGCGTTGTACACTCATATCTGAGGTTTACGTACAGATCTCTCTTTTCTGTAAATTTAAAGATCAGCAGACATACGGTATGTCCACAGCTGCAGTCTTCAGTATAGTTGACTGTATGAACATGCCTCAGTGTGTGTCCTAGTGTGTCAGATCTTCATCTTGTGGAGACTGGAGTGCCCTGCCTGGCCAGTCACCACCACACATTTGTACAATAGGAGCCACTGCCTCACCACACAGAGCCCAACAGCCTCACCTGGGGCATGGAATTGCACGCAGTCAAAAGTGGCAAAGAGCTTCAAGTGAACCGGTCTGGGGATCCAAACATAGTCCACAGTATTTCTTGCATATGATGAAATACAATGGTTTTAGTGTTTATCATTTATAATTTTATTAGATATTGTCTTGTTCAAGTGTCTATTCATTCTCATTCAGGACCTAATAGAAGGAAGTATAACACGGGTTAATAATACTGTTCTATTACTAGTTCTTAAACCCAAGAGACTACATTGTACCTTATCATTTCAAAGTCTTCACTGTTACAATTGATGCAGCCTACAGAGCAAACCCCATGTACTGCAGAGCATACCTCAGTCGAGCAAAAAAAGTAAACCTGTAGAGAAGAGGAGGAATAGAACACGTTTTGGTCAATTCTTTAAGACTTGTTGTACCTCAGGGTTCACATCATCCACGACTAAAGGACTTGGTGAAGTGAAGGACAGGAAGCTGATGACCACAATATACTTTGTGTTAGGATAGACTGAAAGAAGATGCTGTGAAGTGCTTTCAGAGGAACAGCTGAGTAACAGAAAAGATGCAATTAATTTGGGCATCAGCTATAATTACAAAGTGTACATGTAAAGAACCCACCCATCGTAAATGAGTATGGCACTGGCATATGGAGTTAAAGTGTACGCCAAGCAGTAGTGGACCCACAGCGCCACACTGGGGTCAGGAGGCAGCAGTGTGAGCTCTATATACACCAGCCTGCCTCGTAAACTGTGGAGGGGAAGGTGGTCCAAGGGCTGGAAGCTCAGTGACTCATCTAAAGGAATGAATTAGTAACAGGGATTTCCACCAACACACAAAACAACATGACAAACAATAGAAGACATTAAAACTGCAGTGACAGATTACCTGTAGCTAGTCTCATCTGTACGGGGGTGGCAGCTGTATATTGAGGTGGCAAAGGGTCCAGTATGAACAGTGGCTCTGCTCTGAGAAAACCAGGATAGAAGCTACATTCCACCATAAAGCTGGAGACATACACAGGTTAATTACAAAGCTTTAGTCTAGCCATCATTTTCAAAGAAAAAGTCAAGGGTCTCAACCAATCTTCTCAGAAAATAAATGACAGTAATTATTGTACACTTTGTCAAGTATCAGTTTGAAAGCAGTTGGTAGTAAGGTATTCACATACCTCATTAAGGAATTGGCAGAGTCACAAGTTTCAAGTTCTAGCTGATAGTTTATCAGTGAATCACTGACCTAGTGGCAAAGAGATCAAAATTAACCACACAATCTAGATGCAACTAGAAAGATTCTTGAGCATACTCGTGTTGTGACCCCACAGTCTTTTGGGGACACAAAGTACAGTTTGGGACTAGAGGTCAAATGGCCAATGGCACAGGATACTTTGGAGTGATCAGGATCTGAGACTTTGGGTTCACCCACAGATTCAGGTAAGGAAAACAAAAGGTACTCTCCCAAGATGCAATCTGTTGACATAAAATTAATTTTTCAAACACAAACCATGAACATTTTTGGAAGCATTTCTTCCCACTGTGCGTTTTGTCATTTTGGGCATGTGCAAACAGGATCTGCTGTCAGAGTGCCTCACCCTCCACAGGCAAAGCAGAGCAGTCAAGAGAGATGGAACAGTGGAAATGTGACACAGTGCCAGGGCAGCTGGGCGCGTCAAAGGGCGGGGTCATGCTGGCACTAGTTTGACCTGTGTGAAGAGAAGCACAGGGAATGTGTTTTTCATTTGCATCTAGAAGCAGAGTGCACAGATCTCCACAGCCAACAAACAGTTCAGCACAAGCAGTGTCACGACAAATGGGCCTGTAAGTGGAAAAAATAAAAGAGGCCAGACGTGGAAGGCTGGTACTACACAAGTATGTTAAATCTGGGCTATGAAAGGTATAAAGAACCAGCACAATCAAATAAGCACCTATGTTGTTTAAGTTTAGATATCAAATATGGTCATGTTCACTTATTTGTTGGGACATTACACGTTCGCTATAAACACCAGCTTGTAGCTGTAGACTAATTTCCATCTGTTCTCCTGCATTCACTCTCAAACACATTCTCATTCATAGAATAAAATACTGGGGCTGCTCACAGACAAGCTATACAAAAACAGACAATCAAGGTCCCTGTAGGGCAGATAATTAATAGGCAAAAAAGCAAGAGATCCGAGGGACTCTGTTTCAAGTCACATCAGAACAAAGTTCATTATGATTAATACACCAAAAGGAAAAGTGGAGAAGAGTTTAGCTTGAGGAGATGACAGTCTGCACTAACCACTGAGCCACACTGCCGCCTCACTATGACACCTGGTACTCCCAGCAATGTCCGGTCCAGAACTAACTAGGCCCAACCCTGTCTCATGAGACAGGATCGATTAAGGAAGCATGGCAGTTTAATGAAAGGAGCATACAACGCTGAAATTTTTTAAATCATTAAAATGGCTATTAAAATGAACATCCTTTTTAAATCATCTTTTTAAAATACTCATTTGATTTCAAATTGTATTCACATATGCCTCACATGGCAATAAAACAAAGATTTCCATTATACCTCTTTAATAATTCCATTATAATATTCCTCATTAGCTCAGTGGTGAGTATAGTATATCAGTATAGCATGTATTGCCACGAACAGGGACGGATTGAAGAGTCTTAAAGGCAAGTGTCTCTAAATAAAATTGCTAAGCCTATGGGAGACTTACTGCATGTGGGTCACATTATAAAATGAGTAATTTCTCAAATTTGTAAGAATTTAAGAAATGAACATTTTTACCTTGCACACTGGCATCCTCAGGATGTTCTTCTAGTACAGACATTAGAGGGAATACAGCATAGTTCACTGGAGCTGCTTGAATGACCCATTCCTCCCAGCGGCTGTGGTCAGGTGAGAGATCGGAGTATGGAGTCGATTGCCTTTCATTCATCAGGGTTTCTGCTGCATCATGTACTGGTACAAACAGCTCAGGGACAGGCTGGAAGTCTGAGCCAAAACTCTGCTGCACATCTGCACTCTGAATAATAGGATCTGCACTTTGTTGTGGAGGGAGTATAGAAGCTGGAATAGGATGGTTCTCACGTTTAGGTCCAGAAAATAACTGGTAGTAGTTATAAGGCAGGGGGTGAATGAACGTGGTAGAATGTTTGGCAGAAGGTGTGGATTCACCAGCAGGGGTCATTGTTACAAAGGCTCTTTGATCATTCATATTTGATATTTGAATATTTGGATTAATTCTTAGGTCATCGGTCTTCATATTGTGTTGTTTATAGACTTCAGACGTACCATGCACTGGCTTCTGAGACTCTCCAAAGTTAATTTTTTCAATAAGGTCATGCTGCAGGAAGGCATAGAGCAGTGGAGGGGGTGTGGTATTAAGATCAGTTGCAGAGTTCAAATAAAACAAAGGTGTAATGTTACCCGCTTCACTTGAGTGCCGTGGCTCCACTGTAGAACCAGGATTCTGTGGGATTTTAGGAAGGTGGTAGTAGTGATAGTATGGATTGAAAACATAGTGGTGAGGGGGCATACTAGGACTGGAACCCTTCAGTGATGGTGGAGGATGTTTCATGGTAAAAGCATCTTTGAAATCAGGAAAAATTTGGCTCGAGTCTCGCAGTGATGTCCGCATACTGTAGTAGTCCTCTGGTGGTCGTATTTGGTCACCCTGCTCATCTTGTTGTGGTTTTTTAAGTGGAGATTTCATTGTCCTGAGCGGAGGAGTCACCTGTGGGACATGGTCTCTGTGGTGCCGTGTAGGACGAGGGTAGTAGGGCGGTGCCAGGTAAAATGGTTGTGCCCATTGATTGGGCTTCAGGTCTGGTGTCACTGGTTTAGTTTTTGTTGCAGTAGATTCATGAGCTTGATTTGATTGAGAAGATCTTTTAGTAGCTATGGGACATGAGAAGAAAAATACTTCTTCCATAAGTTGAATAGAAAGTGTATGATTTCCTCCCTGAAATGACATGACAAATTCATAATATCAACAAATACACAACACTAAAATATAATACATCCTTCTTTAATGATTAGAACAATAGTTTCTTCCATCATTAAACTTAATAAATCAAGGCAGGATGCCTTTCTAATAGTTACTCTTGATGTGATGCCACATGCCAGAAACGGCACAGTGATTACAATCTCTGCGTTTCCTCTTTTCAAACTGTACCCACAGTGCTGCACCAACTCGAGCAGGGGAGTCCACTCACCCCGGACTGAAGGGACAAAGAAAAGTAGTAGAGAAACGCATTCATAAACTAGGACTTTACTGGGAGAGTGAATATTGATTTAAGCTCTGTGGGTAGTTTACCATTTACATTGGGCTCCTTGGACACAGACTGGCCTTGAATGCTGATGGTTAAGTCAGAGGGAGAGCAACACAGGGACAGTCCATCCAAAGCCTGGGACTTCACTAGAGACACTGGACATGATATCCTTACAGCTGTCCTCCGCCACAGCAAAGACAGCACATGACGATTGTTCTAAAACCCATTTTATGTCTATTTAATGTCTATGTCCAATATTACTTGTTCTATAACTACAAAGTTTATTATAACATATAAAAATCAATGTCATATTCGAAGTACATTGACATACACAATTCCAAATGGTAACACAAAGTATAAAATAGAGAGATTACCTGAACAGTAACATGACAGCCATTATAGTGAGCAACTACAGAAATTTCTCTTATATTTTTGTGAACAGAGAAACCACACCAAAATGGTATCTTCGACAAAGGAAGTGAAGAGTCATTTCCTACAAGGTCATAAGACATATTTTTTTGTGATTTTTTTAATACTTTGAATGAAAATAGAAATGCATCACCTGTGCTGATACGGAGCTGCACAGCTCTGGTCCTCACAGTGAGAGTCATCGAGTCCGCCGCACACTCCACCACAGGCTGCAGCTCCTCTCTGATCTGAGCCTGGACATCTACAAGGGAAACATGCAGGTCAACAGGGTCAGATAGTTCAGATGTATCATAATAAAAACAATGACCATTTTAAACTGCATTCTGCGTCTAAGTAAAAGTTTGATGTTTAGATAGAGTCAAATTAATACATATCAGAAATGGTGATGCTGACCTGTACCACTGTAGTCAAACCTTCCATAAACAATCGGCTTGACTTGTCCCCTAGAACAGTTAGTGTTGAAGTAAATAGACGGATTATTCTGATTTTGATCTAATAAAGTCTCCATCTTAGGTTTGTTTTGAGTAAATTTAGACGTCTCTCCGAATGTTTCTTTTGTTTTCATAAAAAGTGTGCTGGGTTTTCTCGAGCCTAAACGATGACGCCTTTCTCTTGACCTCGGTGCCAATGTTTCCGCAGTCAAAGCGCTCTCCATGTCATTATTAAACCCGGGGTGTTCAGATGGCCGTGCCGAATAATCAACCGGCTCACTAGCCCCTAGATGAAAACTTATTGCAATGGTGCAGATGACAACAACACCCAAGCAATATCCTTTCTGCTTCCAATTCATAGCAAATCTTAGCTGCGCGTAAAACAGCAGATAGAAGCGCATTGGTGAGCCTTTTATTTTGTTTCGGGCCACACACCTGCTCTCTCATCAGGGATAATCATAATAAACAGGTGCTACAGGCTAATGAGGAGAACATTCAATTAGCATATTTTCTTGGCCTACAAAAATATATTAGGATTTGCAAATTACTCCTATGGACAATGCGCTACAAAAAATACATGATGTATCCTACAATAAATGTTATTTTATTCATAGCCACTAGAGGGCCACACTGCATCACATAAAGGTTATTATTAATTTCATGAAAAGTCTCTAAATGTTGACCTGAAATGCACCAATAAATCAGTTAAATAGGTAACTTACTTGAATCGAAATTTCCATGCGTTTTCCAATTTTTAAACAGAATGTAACAAGTTTGTTTACCCTAATATTTCAGTCTGTAGCCTAAATATAACCACTGAGACTATTTTGATTTCTTTTTTGACATAAAATGACTATATTAAAAGCTATACGAGCTATATTAAGAGCTATATTGAGAGCTAATGACTATATTAAATAAATTTTTGTGTGGCGTGGAAGAATTTTAACTTTTGACTTTTAATCTTTTCTGTGTTAACAGTCGGACTGACCGGACTGAACGAAACATCAACTAAGAGGCCTAATCATAAACATGACAACACTGTAAATATAAACAGAGAAAATAGCTGCCATTTGTAGGTGAGGATGACAATTAACGGCAAAGGGTTTCAAAGCAAACACGGCTGCCAGTGTTTGTTTTTTGACAGCACGGTGCCAAGATTCACCATCACATAGTGGCCATGATGTGAACAGCTAGGGCCAGATGGGTCATTTTCCCACAGTTCCTCATCTGCAAAGTCCTTTTCCATTCATTTCTAGTTCTACTTCTATGCCAGGTACTGGAGCTAGATGACTCCCAGTGGCGCATTGTTAAACGCACTGTGGGAGAATGATTGCAGCAGATTCAGTTTGATGAGGAGGACTCTGAAGCGGGGCGAGGTGGAGGGGAGGGATGATCGGTTAGAAACGGGCGCGGCGGCAATGCAATGACTCATATTTGGAGTTGCCTAGCTACAGCCGGGACTTGTTTTCTTTAGACAGTGAGCGCGAGTACAGTCTGGAATCTGGATTTCATTGAAAGTCCAAGGCTACACAGGGGGGCGGTGGAGTAAACACAGGGGTGGCACAAGGAAGGAGACAGGAGGGGCACACCAGAAAGGAAAATCATGTGAGCAGGAATCTGAAGTGAATGTAGTAATGTGAGAGTGAGTCAAATTTTGGTAAGGAAGTGAATCAAGAATGAAAACCTTTGGCTGGTAACCATGGAAACAGGTTAGCGGTGGCTATTGTAAATATGAGGAATTTTCCTTTTAGTCAATGTACATGGGGGAAGTGTATTTGACTGACACACCACTTGAAGGTTAGTTATTGCAGTGGTCCGAAAACTATAGAAAATGCACCATACATTAAGGCAAATGCGTTTAGAAAAGTGAAACATAAAGCTGTGATTGTAGTCTGTTGAGAGGAGCTATATGATTGATATGATAAATTTGACGTAATTCTTTTCAGAGCTTTTCTGTTTGGACTTGCACTCCATCTGAAATTATGCCATCAGATTCTACAATGTAGTGAACACAAATGATTACTATTACCACTATGTGATACCAATCACATGCTTCCACAGATCAATGGTCTACCAATCTGGCATTGTACAGAACATAACAAAGGCAGAATACTGTAAAAAAAAGTTGACTGACAGCAAGTAGATTGTCTCTCATTTTGTATTCTCCCAACATCTAAACAAATGAATTATAGATGTGTTTAGCATTGTGTGTGTAAATCCATGAATATAATGAAATCAAAACATGTGTGCCATTATTGTTCTCATTTAGTCATTTTAGAACTGCGCAATAAATAATTGTCCTGATAGACAAAGCATCAAATTAACTGGTTCAGATTTTACGCTGTTGCAAATAACATCATGATTGAGGAACAACTCAAAGGATATGAAGTAAGCATAAATGAGTCATTGTATTAGAAGGCTATTAAGTAGATTTATATTAGAATTATGTAAAGTATAATTAACCTGTTAGTATGTATGGTAATGCAAAAAGAATTTTAGTGTTCAAGTGTCTATAGCGTCACATGCATTTGTCCCAACCTCCAGCCTTGTACCACAATATAATGTTCTCAGTTTGAATAAGTAATAATAATATTTGTACAAAGATTATAAATTGATTGTGCATAAATCATGTCATGGACATGCCTGAACAGTTAGCTTCGTTCATCATCCAGAATTTGACAATAGGAATGGTAGGATTATCTTTGACTTTCTACAAATTGCTTGGGGCGTTTCTACACAGCCCTAACTATGCAATGCCTGCACAGCCAAGCACCCAAAACAGCTCTTAAATCCAGAAACACGCTGCAGTTTTATTATTTTTAATGGGAATCTAAAATCTCTGGGTAGGGTGCTTTGTTGTGCAAAACGTGGAAGCTTTGACCATTTTTAGACAGTTGACCACATTGGGAGAGCCGTGGCATTGTGTGAAGCAAGAGTGACTTAGCTTGTGGTCGCGCTCACTCCCCTGGTATGTAGGCACTTGGTTGGTTTTGTGTTGAAATAACTCCTCATAAACAGCTCAATTAAAGGATTGACATGGCGGATGCTCATTTTTTGTTGTCTGTAAAAGAGATTCGTTCATAATTACCAGTAATTCAGAAAAATGGGCGCACATCGGCCACTGGAACAATACGGAACAAATACAATGTGGAATAGTATGTCTTTTAAAAGTGCCAAATAAAAGAAACACAACTTTCAAAGCACATGCACACATTTGGCACCAGACAATATCATAAGTGTTCCTGTTCCTTCATGACTCTGGTTTTTCCAGTCCAGATCAGAAAGGCAGCATGACAAAGGGCTGTTTGTTGAGCAAGCTTCCCCATTGGTCCCCTCCTGTAGTTTGCAGACATGTGATTTGAAGGCTTATGTTTGAATTTGGAAGTCAAAACATTTTCTGCCCAGCCTCCTGTCAATCTGGAAGAAACTGTATTGACAGTATGGTCCGCTATGAAATGACACGACTCAAGACAACAATACTCAAGACAAATAGAGAAAATAGAGGATTTTAGGCAATAGCTCTCAGCATGGATGGAGCGACAAGGATAGAAATTTTGATAAAGGAACTGGTATTAGGCAAACAAATTGGAGATGTTGGATGAAAGATTATTGTGGATGTGCTGTCATTATCATCCACCTCAACATGGTGTGTTTGACTCCTCACCATTTGCCAAATGTCCAAACTCCATCTCTCTCCGTTTTTACTGTATTTATATATTTGATAGGGACATTGTACATTAATGAGAATCTGTATAAAACAAATGTAAATATGGCGTTCATAGCTACCAAGATAATTTACTTCTGCAGTCTCTATGCAGGCAACAATACAACAAATAAAGAGATGATACAAAACAAAAAAACTGAAATGTTTTACACTATGCCTCTCATGTCTCCTCTTTTTTTTTTTTTACAGTGATGAGGAAAGTGTTTTTTTTTAGTAGTCTCTATAAAAGTAGTCATAATGATCTAATCTAATAGTGTTATTAGACCTTTATACTCCATTTTATGCAATGCCATAAAATATGATGATGTAAAATCCATAAATATGCACTTAATCCTTTCATATGCCCCCCAATGTATTCCAAACTATTCATACCTGCTACAGTTACACAGCAGGGATTAGTTTTGAAGGAGTGCCCGGATCAGTCTCTATGATACATTACAAATCAAGCTTACTTCAATCTCCAGGTAGGGCCCACACACCCAACCTGATCTGGTCTGACCACATTCTGTCTTGTCACTGTGGCTGGCCCTCACGTTGGATGATGTGACGTTTCATGGCTCGTATCCGCTGTAGATTTGATCTCACTTGTACTTAACCATGTGTGTCGATCACTATCTCTCACCGCTGGTCACAGTATATCTGCAATATAACGGAAATGAAGGTGTGATTAGATAGGTGTGTGTCTTTATGGCAGACAACCTATTACATAATTTCTTCAAAAGCCACTGAATCTAACAGTACATCTATTTACTTCAGACCTTAGCCTGCAGTTCAACTTTTCCCTTTCTTTCTCCACTTAAATGAGCTGGAATAAGATAATCTAGGGTAAAGGAAAGTGTGCAATGTGTATGACCTTTGTGACCCCAGTAGAATGTAAACACACATTTACATGCTCTGCTAGCTAACCTCAGAGAGGACATTGCAGTGAAGTAAATGACCTGTGCTATAGTCTGTTATTATCTAGCCTCACCTGCCCAGAACTCCACAGGCCCTGGATTAAATAATATATGACGCAGCTGCCCTTGACTAACACTTGTTTGTCAAGATGACGAGGAGATCAGTGGATTCTCACAAACCAAATGATCTCAGTTTCTTATTCCACACCATAAATACGACTCAAGTTTGACAGCATGTCCTGTGTCTTTTGGTAAAGGCAAAACAGACTCACCACCAGTACACCATGGTAAAGAGACACCACTTAGTCAGCCAGTCACCTTATAGCATGTTACAATAGCCCAAAGTACATTTATAAATCCTAACAGCATATTTAAATGGAACCACATACTTAAACAAAAGCTGTGTAGCACTGTGTCACATAGTGAACAGTTCTTTTTTTCTCATGGCTTTCTCTGCGGGTTGCTATAATGTAAACCATCTCACTTGAATGCAGTCATTCACCTTCTCCTGACACTCTCACCCCTTGAGACTATATATTATATTATTTATATATTTTATATTATATTTTATTTATTTTATTTTTATTTTATATATATTATTATATTATTAGACATGAACCATTTAAACATTGCCTTGACTGTATGTAGCCTGCACTCTTACAGTTTAAAAAAAAAAGTTACTCTAGTCACAATTGAACCTGGATTTCCAGTGCCTTAACCTACATATAGTTGTCACGTACAAGTTTTTCTCATTCTCAGACAAGCCTCAAGTGAAAGCTCAGAACCTTATGAACCTAATGGCTTCAGGGGCTGAGGTTTAGGTAGTGAGGATTCAGATTGAAGAGAGTAATTTTAGGTTTAAATCAACTGGATTTCAACACTGAAACTAGCAACGCAAATGAGAGACTCATGTGATGCTCCTTCTGCTTTCTGGACATCATGCCCAATGTTTTTGTAATTAAGTCAGCATTGTTATCAGAGAAAGCAATATTTAGTGATGTTATCTTAAACATGCCGTGTTGTTATATGACTTATCCTCACAACAATGAACATTACTTCATAGTTTTCATTTTTGGACTGTTGTCTTTTCCCGTTCATGTCAGATTGTGACCACAGGAATTTAACCACATTCTCCTAATTCTGAAATGTCTATTGTTGTTATATTAATTTTAGCAAACTATACTAGAATTTAAAGAGACAAGTTTATTTATTCTTTTTTATCTATAGACTGACAATTCATATTTTAACTTGGTGCACTTGGTGGTATCAAAGTTTAATTCAGAATGACTGGCTTGTGTATCACTCAAGGATTAGATCAATCAGTTAATGTATAAAAAAATAATTACTGGCCACTGGTGATACTTTAGTTTATTTAATATTTTTGGCATATTTGCTGATAAAAACAATGCATTTTACAATATTTGGAAGTTTGTGAAGGGATGTTTGTTTACAATAATCCCTTAAACTCCCTCTGCATTGGTACTGTATCAAGTATTGGCAGAAACTCAAAACTTTTGATTTGAGCATCTTTAAATGTAATAGTTATTCATGACATGTACATAATTTTCAAGAATCTTACAATATAGCCCCAAAACTCAAAGAAATGTTAAGTTCATTGTTTTAATATAAGTAGTTTAAGCTGAAGTATCTCAAATCACACATTGTTGCTATTGCTTTTGTTGAGCATGAAGTAAGAGGTATGCTTAAACCCTCCCAGTACAGATGACTTAGAAATCCCATATACTCAAAGTTATTACGATTATATTAGTCACCAGTTCCACTATGCCATGACACTGAGCAATTGCAAATGAATTCAAAACTATTTGGGAACTTTTTAGCGACTCTCTCTCTACACTCATATTCACAATCTCGCTCCATCTTCCTCCCCTTTGCTACTATTCCCTCCCTGGGTTTCCTTCCTTCTCTCTGGCTTTCTTGAACTCCTGTAACCCACTGCCACCTTCACCATGACAACCAACAACATTCCTTCATCATGAAACTCCTTACTAAGCAACAAGAGCGGGAAAATAGATCAACCAGGGTGTTGACCAAGGAGAAAACCGCAGTACGCTGTTATGTAGTGCTGCCACTGTTTACATGCACACAATGATACTATGATTACACCCGGCTGCAGTCTGTCGCCATGGCAACGGTAGTACACAGTGAGTATCCGGAGTTATGGGAGTCCCCTTGTTGCCCCCCTTCCCCAAACACCAGTGAGTCAACCACGCCAGTGAAAAAAAGAGCATCGGCCGAATAACAAAGATATGAGTACGAATCTCAAATAGACGTGGAAGTAACTTTAGCACGTGTGTGAGGCAGAGAGGAGCACAGGGGGAGGGGTCTGGGGAGAGGAAAGACGTTGGTGAAGGAAAACGGGGAGGAAGGTTATGTGCTGGAGCGAGTGACAGGGAGGGGTATGGACTGTAAAAAAGGGCAGGGCAAAAAAGGGCGGATGGGTAATTTCTACTGATGTGCATTTAGGCTGGAAAGTTAGTATCCGTGAGTAGTAGAGGGATTTAGACTTGAGCAGAGGCAGTCGCAATACATAAAAAGTGAGTACTTCTTTTTATTCTTTAAACCCATATTCTTTCTATACATCTATACAAACAATTTATGGTAAATATAACTGCATTGTATAGTCACATTCAGAATTCTTTTTACTCAAGGTTGCAGTGGAAGTTTGGAAAGCACTCATAAGTTACTTTTATTGTGGGGTTATTTCTGCTGGCTAAAGTTAGGCCGTCTTGGGAGACGTGTTTATTTTCCATTTGCAAAAGCCACATGATTACCTCCATGTGTGCCTCTTGGACCACTACCATTTATACCAAACATTTATATTCTAGAGAAGGCCACACTGGAGCCACAGTTGTGCTGATGTGACGGAAGATTTTGCATAAAAGTTATGGACCTTGTCAGTTTATTGTAAACAGAAGACGTGTATGTTTAAAATATGGGTAAAGTTGACAGAATATAACTGCGTTTGAAGGGATTTAGGAAAACTCTTTGGGATTTTTATTATGTTGAGCATGTCTTCATTTGTGTGAGAATTAACAACAAAACGTAGCATAGACCCAGCCCTGACCACTCCTTAAAGCCTGACAACCAGTACATTCCAGATGCACCTTGGCCTCCACCCCCAGGATAAGAATGGCAGGATTACTTTTTGTTGTAGTTATTCTTGTAGTATAATAATAACTATTGTTTAATTTCACTAGAATTGCGGAACTAAAATTTGACATTGTAACCCTCCTACCCAGAATGCAACTCCTTCCTAGAAAGCAGCTCCTTATTACTTTGCGTGTCTTATCCTTTAGAATATGGTAGGTCAAACGTGCTAGAATCACTATCCTTAATCTAACAGGAACATGTGTGTGAGGGCCCCTATAATAGAGTAAGAGAAGAGAGTAGAGAAAATTGCAGGTGTGTTGTAGCTTACTGGGATGAACGTGTGTGAAATTACCTCACAATGGTGGGATGGGGTGTGGGCCAGTGAGCCAGGTATTCGACAGTTATTTTAAGGAGTGGCGTGTATTTTGACAGCACAAAAGACGTGTCCGAACTCATCTATACTTTATGAACTTCCCTCTATGCAACAATTCTGGTTGCAACTGGTCAGCCTTAGGACACAACATTATGTAAACTTTAATGCACAATTATTGCCACTGGTTACCTCAATTTGAATAACCGACAGCATCCTGTTTGCAGACTTTTAGTAGAGAGCGTGCGTGTTGGGAGTAATTAAAAGTTGGGTGGCCACACCCTGAATAGATGCCAGTTTTTCTTTTTTTTTTAAATCTCCTATTCAAAGTGTTTATAAAATGCGTCACAAATGGCTTCTATTCTGTTCTGAGGTGTGGAGCTTTTTGTTCGAGGGCATGCTTGTTTTTCTTCTCATCATAATGCGCTGTGTGCTTTCTAATATTAGTCAGGCCTTCCAGACATTTTGTGCACTAAGTTGCAAAGTGGTTTGACTTGTTTTGTATCTTTTCTTCCCTCTTTCACCAGCTAAGCCACCATGCTGATCCTTCTCGCTGCCATCTTTGCCCTGCACATTGTCGCCATTGTTATTCTCTTGGTGGCCACTATTGACAATGTAAGGACAACAATGTATGCACTACACAGCAGAAATACTTTCATTCAAACCTCACACTCAAGCATATTTTACATAATTAAACACAGTCAATCCACTATCTCCTCCAGTTTTGGCTCTTAAAAGGACTACATAGAAGTTATTCCACTTTGATCGACAGCAGAGTGGTGAAGAAGGGACTGTGCTCACCTTTGTGTCATCACTCAGAGCTTCTTTCCTTCCCATCCAGAGCTTGCTCGGATCTCTAGGGCTGAATAGTTAACATTTCTGGTTGACAGATGGCTTGTTGTCACTGATGGAAATTGCAGTCAAAGTTTCATCTTAAACATAAAAGAAAAAATAAGTGACATTCCTGCATAAAGAGACATTTTTCATTCATACTAGTCACCACAAATGTACTGAAAACTACCAAAGCTGTGACGGTTAAGTGTAATATTTGCTCCTATTTGAAATATTCTAGGCTTGGTGGGTGACTGACACTATCTCCACGGATATCTGGGGACGCTGGATCTTAACAAATGGGGTGTGGAACTTAACCGAACTGCCCGATGGTGCTCACTATCCAAAGGGTAAGTTTGTGAAGTAAACCTGTTTCAAAAGGCCACAGAGTCAAAATTCATGTTTTAGACAAAAGCACAGTTTTTTAATAATAAGTTTGACCATAAATATTGTGGGTTCCAGTTCCAGTAATGCAATATGCTGTGTGCACTTTTGAACCTGGTGTGGCTGTCTGTAAAGTTTCACACTGTGTGTTTAAGAAGATCCAATTTCTGGATTTTAAATGAATCACAGTGGGCAAAAAGACAATAAAAAGGATTTGATTTTAATAAAATACTGAATATAATACATAAATAAATAAAATACATTGTTATTCTAATTTGTGAAGGTGGGCGTGGCATAAAATTTTCAGATCATACAACTACTTATGTTTAATGTTGTAATGTTACAAATATATATATTTTAAGACACTGATAAGTATAAGTACTAGAACTAAAAGTTAATAACATCCTTCATTTAGTATGTGTGCAAACAATTTATCTAGACTGTGTGGCCTGGTGTGTTTACATTCCACACACCAGCTTAGAGACCACAAAAAGCTGTCAGCATTAACACAGAATGCCGTTGCTGCTCATAACAAAACTGTGGTATGCATCTCAGAAGTAATCACTCATACAACAAAGTGCATTTTTTACAATCCTAGCACATTTGAGATTTCAACAGTAACATTCTTCACTCACAGCTGATGTCATGACGTACATTTGGAACAAAATGTTCACCTTTAATTGGTTTTATTAACTTTGCCACTCCTTTCTCTGGCTCCCCCTGCAGACTACCTCCAGGCGGTACAGGCCAGCTCTGTGCTTGCTTGCATATTCTCCATCCTGGGCATCTTTGTGTTTATTGCTCAGCTGTTCACTTTAACCAAGGGCAAGAGGTTCACCATCTCTGGCATCTTCCAGTTTCTCGCATGTAAGTATTTACACGAATCATCCCAGACACGATTGGTTTTGTTGTCAAATATTCATGTTGTGGTCTTCTTCCAGGCCTGTGCATCATGATTGCAGCCTCCATCTACACAGACCGCTTCCACAAGGATGAGCAAAACGGCTCTTACGGCCACTCCTTCATCCTGGCCTGGATCGCTTTTGGGCTGACGTTCATCTCCTCCATCACTTACTTTGTGCTACGTAAAAAGACAGCATGATCCCAATAACCAGCCACCACTACTGGATGTGACCTCACAGCTCAACTAGGAGTATTTTGGAATAAAAGTACTGTTGTTGCCTTGACCATGTTAGACTAAATTAAGAATTATTCATATTTGTGACTTTAAACATAACTGTGGTATTTTAGATTTGCGTATGTATAAATTGTTTATATTGGGGTGACTTTTTAATAGCTGGAAACCATCACAACAAAATGACATTTACAAATACTTAAAAAATATAATAAAAAACAACTTTCGATGAATCAAAGATTAGCTTGTGTCCAATATTTTTGTTTTGTTCTGTTTTTTTCATCTGCATTCAGGCAGACAGCAAGATGGATTGTTGTTTGTAATTAAGTATCAGGGTGTTTGTACAATTATACAGAGCAAAATTTGTTTAGTAATTTAATTCACATCTGTCAAAATGTTATATAACTCAACTTTTAAATAAATCGAAGACATTCCAACATTTTCTTAAAATGACAACAAAGCTGAATTAGCCAATTACATGTCTGTGTTGTTTCATTAATGTCATATTTTCCACTTTGCTATACAGCAGCAGACAGTTAATTGTGTATGTACATAAAAATGTTTCTTGTAATGCTCTGACCTGTTCTCTTTATACAATAGTTTTTAAGATATTAAACATTAATAAACAAACAATGTTTGCTCTTCATATTTTAACATGTAAAACAAAATCTTCACTTTGTGCAAGTAGTATTAGTTAAGCTGTTTCATTAAAAGCTGGCGGTGCTCCTGCACAGCGTTGTTAGAGGTCATTTTTTTAATATAAGATGTTTAGAACTTAAGTTCAGAAATTCACTTATTCTTTTTATTATATAATTGTTACTATTACTGTACAGTGTGGAGTCATGAGCATACTCTCTGTTTGGAGAAGTGTGTAGTAGTTACTGTGAGAAACATCTCAGAAAAACTCTCCAGTCAACTGTAATTAATTGTATATTGAAGATGCAGTGAAAGAAAACCAACAGAATTCATGAGATTTTTTGTGATCTTTACACAAAATAAGACTATGAAAATGAAAAGCCCTTTGAAAATTAGACACTTACACCAGGCAATGAAATGTGACGATATCAGCGAGTCACACTCAGTCCTGATGTAGTGGTCTGGTCTTGTTCTAGTCCAAGTTTACTCACAGTTTAGACACATTTTCTTTTCTTCATACTGATGGTGCAGGGTCTCAGATTTTCCAAAATTGTGGACTTTCTCTTTTTGTACAGCTGCATAATTTATTAGAAGAAAACAATAGACTAGAGTGGGCTGCAGTCATTATCTTCTTCATACCCAGGACATATATCCTGATGTTCAAAATGGGGCAAGTGCACAGAGACAGACAGGGCGGGTGAAGGCAGAGACAAGCGGTGATAAGGTGACGTAGGTGTGTTCTGTGATGGGGGAGGAGGGAAAGACAGTGAGTGGTGTAAGTGAGGTGAATGCGTTGGCCTGAGGGTAGAAGAGGTGGTTGGAGCAGAGGCAGGAGGCTCGTAGTATGGGGACAGGTGAGAAAGGCGCGGGGGAGAGGAAGGACAGTCCAGGCTCAAGTTTGGGGGGGTGTAATAAGGGGCAGGTGGCGGCGGTCCCACAAAGTTGAAGCTGCAGACATTAAGGCTGGAAATGCGGCGGGGCCCCACCATAATGACCTTCTTGGTGTAGTTGTTGAGAGTGGACACTCCGGCCGACATGCACACGGTGAAGGCCACCCATGCCACACTGAGGACGCACAGCACAGGGGCAGAAGGGGCAGACCAGAGCAATATTTATAATACTGAAATTACCAAGAGTACCTAAGGAGGCCCAGTGGTCACAGTGTTCAAGGCCAGTGGAACCTGATATCATAAGGCTTGTGCCAATGTGTGTAACAGAACTTACTAGAACGCCCAAGAGTATCCATAGCTGTGAGGTTTGAAGTCCTCCGGTCCCATTGAAGCTGTGGTCTGAAACACCTGCATGAACATCATGTGGCCCACCATGCCAAGCAGACCTCAGAACAACAAAAGCAAAGATATCCAGTACAACATAAAAAATACAACGGTAGTGCTGGTGACAAAACTCAGGTCATACCTCCAAGTACAGTGAAAACTGCAGCGAATGCGTTGAGCAGCTGGCCCCAGCGGCGTGTGGAGGGGAAAAAAGCCCCCATGCACAGCTGTGCAGACAGCAGTATGCAGCTGACCAGCAGTAGGCTGATGTACATCAGCTCCAAGGTCAGATACAGCCACATCATGGCTGTGGACACAACACATGTGTGAACAGAGAATACACAGGACAGAAGCAGGAAAACTATTACCTTTTTCTGAACCAGGGGTCAATGCATACAGTCCTCTGCACTTCTCTTCTGAAAAAGACAATTTGGTAAACATTTCTGAAGAATTTATAAAGTAACTAGAAAAGCACTCAGAGAGCGCAGACCTCCGCCAAGGACTACCCCCATTTTTTATATAAATTGCGATAAAATCAGTCTTCTGGATCAGATCCGGATCAGCCTTTGGAATATGAAAGAGGATCCCATTGTCCATCCCTGAGTCAAATTTCATGGGGTTTGGTCAATAATTAAAGGAGATATTGAGAAACAAAATTTTTGGCCCCATTTACCAGTGTTAACTAAAATTTCAAAGTGATCCAGAATCCAGGATTTCTTCCAGATCACCCCCAAAATGAAATCAGTTCTTCCTTTTCACATTTCCAACAAATCCTGAAAATTTCATCAAAATCGGTCCATAACTTTTTGAGTTATGTTGCTAACAGACAAACAAACAAACAAACAAACAGACAAACGCCAGCAAAAACATAACCTCCTTGGCAGGAGTTAATAAATGTGTAATGAATCAGCCAGTCACTGTGAAATTTTTAACTTTGACCTATTTCAAAATAAACAAAGGTCATCTCCTCAGTGGTAGCATAGACTCTTCTAATATAAAATGATATTTAAGTATGTAGGAATTGTTCTGGTTGAGAAAATAAAGGTCAAAAACTAAAATTCAAGGTCAGTTTTTTTCAAAAAATCTGCAGCATCATTAGCAAATTGAAGAGAGCAGATCCCCCAATAATTAACACTAAGTTCAAATATGTAATGCTTTCACTCTTTAGGTTTAATATAATAATACAAAGGCAAAATGTAACTCTATTGATCCTACAATGATGTACAGAAGTAAACAAATTAAGTTTACGTTATTAATTGTTAGTTTAAGTGATTAATTGGAACCCCACGTTTTATGTGATGGTTGTTTAGACAATATATTATATCATACAATCTGTTTCAAATAATGTGAAAATGAGTCGTGAGAGTATGTTTGTGAATCCTATTAACCTTTCTCTCCCCTCTTTCTAATCCATAATTGAGTCATGTTGTCTAAAATCTAAATCTCTGTGGCCATACACAGAGTGGGGAAAATCCTCTTTGCAGTAGACACATAAACACATCACATTCACACATATTAAAACACCTGGAGCTTAGGCACTGTCCTCTGACCTACTTCACTGTCTACCCCGCTGGCCTTACTTCCTCAAACTGTGATCCTCGTGTCACCTTGGGAATACTGGTCACGTAATCAAGGGGAGCAGGAGGGGGTGTTAATGAAAATCCCTCAGAATCACTGAGAGCAATAACCATGAAAATATGTGGTATATAAGTATATGCCAGTTAGAACAAAGACATCAATGGCAAATAAATTGCAGCACATGAGAGGCTGACTAAAGTTATACATTTTATTTAGTTTATTCTCAAACTGAATTAAGAAAAAAATCACAGCAGCAAACAATAATGAGTTCAGTGTTGTTATGAGTTTTTGAGAATTAATCAAAATGACCCCAGTTTAATTGAAAACTGCTTATTTACAGAAGCTGCTCACCCCATTCGTCTGTGTAGATGTTCTCTTCACATGTCATGAACAGGCCGGTGTGGAACACAGGAAACACAAATCGATCATCTCCGGTCTCCCAAGAGAACTGGATGTTGGAGTCGTCGGACACCCCTGGGACTGGGATGCAGTTGCTGTGTTTGGTGGGTGAGCAGAGGGGCTTGGGCACCTTCTGTTTGCCCACACACCAGTATGAGGAGAGCAGAGCCACTGTAGCAAGAAACAGGGACACCAGGGTCTGCAGGAAGGACAAGCGAGGAGAGCGCATCTGCTGCAAGAATGCCATGCCTGAGGAAGCACACACTCAGTTATTCAGATTAGGCGCTTTGACACAGATTGATTCTGTTTTTGTTTTGGGATTTTTCAAGCACTATCTAATCACTAGACATTACTTTCTTTAATTTTCAGTTAATGAGGCAATAATTATTCAATATAGAAGAGCATCTTTGACAAACCAGTATAAATTGTTGGCTGATTTTATTCTTATTATTTTCACACGGAATCGTAAAACAATAAAACATCTGATTCCATTAGTCTGAGTCAAGAAACAAAATTAGCTACTAAATACTGCTCAATATTAACGTTACTCCAAATGGTAGTCTCTCTCATTCTGTTCTTGTCCAACAGTTATTCGATTTTGAACTCACTTGTCAAGAGTCAATGTTAAACTTTACTGTTCAGCTTTCTTCCACTCTTCTGTTTGCCTAAAAATATAAGCAATGTTAAGTGGTTTCCAAGGCAAAGTGTTTCTGCTTGACTGCCTTCTCTGATTAGCGAAGTGTTTAAAGAAAAGGTGCAGGGAGCCAATAGTTTTACATGACTAATCACCTTCAGACAGTGAGCAGAGTGGGAGAATCAGCACACTGCGGGTAATTAGAGAGAAGGCAGCAGCACGGCTAAATCAAGAACAAAATAAGTCGCCATGGAACCTCTCCAGGAGACACAAGCTCAAAGCAGCGACACTCGCAATTGACGTCAAGCAATGCATTCAATCAGAGCAAGAAATAAGAAGCACTCACCTAATTTAATGTGGCGTATGGCCCACTTTATGTCCCTGTCAAAGTGGAGGTGAATGCGCCTCCTTGGCTGGCTCCTCTTTCACCATCAGTACAGGACGGCGACAATGACGGTAAACTCTGCTACCAGGTCAGGTACCAGTCAGGCCTTATGATGTAGTCCTACTGAGAGCATTTTCACAACAACACACACGCTTTAACAACACACACGCTTTAATCCTTCTATATAATTCCAAACAAGTCACTTCCATCTGCTTTCATTTTCAGTTGACTTGACTTCACTCATCTTTGCCTTTCTACTGATTTACATCCTCACAAATAATTCAATTTTTTAAAGAAATGAACCACTAACCTTGAAATTGAATGAACAGAATAGATCGGTTTGGCCCAGTCTTTTTCTATTTTCTAATTGCTGAAGGTTTTTGATAAAATTTCTAGAACATATTTGCGAACCTGTGAGGACAGCCCTTTTATGCAATAAACTATGCAGTTCAAAAACATTCAAGAACTTTATTTTAATTCTACAAAAAACATGTATCAAGGCTTTCACCCAATATGTCAAATTACTCAATTAGAACTACTACCAGAAATGTACCAATTTAGCGGAACTGTGAAAATACCATGTTGTGTTTTAGTGAATAGATTCTGAGACATTCTGAGCTTATTGCTAGACATTTGGGGTGGACAAAATACCAAATAGTCCCTATCACAATTATTACTATATCACAGTTTTGATTTTAAAACAATTCATGTCCACTCACAATCTTTATATTATCTTTAAGAGGTTACCACACCACCTGATTTCACTGAACAACAAGCAGACAAATTCCTAGAAACATCAGATCATCACCAGGATAAAATCGTGATAAGATTTTTTTATTACCTCCGCCAAGGAGGTTATGTTTTTGCTGGCGTTTGTCTGTTTGTTTGTTTGTTTGTTTGTTTGCTGTTAGCAACATAACTCAAAAAGTTATGGACCGATTTTGATGAAATTTTCAGGATTTGTTGGAAATGTGAAAAGGAAGAACTGATTTCATTTTGGGGGTGATCTGGAAGAAATCCTGGATTCTAGATCACTTTGAAATTTTAGTTAACATTGTGGTAAATGGGGCCAATTTTGTTTCTCAATATCTCGGTTAATTATTGACCAAACCCCATGAAATTTGACTCAGGGATGGACAATGGGATTCTCTTTCATATTCCAAAGGCTGATCCGGATCTGATCCAGAAGACTGATTTTATTGCAATTTATATAAAAAATGGGGGTAGTCCTTGGCGGAGGTCTGCGCTCTCTGAGTGCTTTTCTAGTTGTTATTGTTATAACGTCCAGCCCTGTTAGGAATGAAACTAAACTTAACGCAAATGCTCAGAAAACATAGGTTCTACAAAAATATCTAATAGTAATAATCATATTGTGCAAGCGTCTAGTAATTTGCACATTGTGACTTGTGTTGACATTTCTATCTCTAACCTCACTCTCATGATATAAAAATAATTGAATGATTTGGGGTGTCTCAGCGGCTCACCTGGTGGCGTGCATAAAACATACTGACGCAACCTTGTTTCCATTTCCGACTCAACTTTCTTTCTCCCTGTCATTGCACCTTCCTCTGACTTCTTTTCTGTTTAACTGGCTCTATAGAACAAAAGGCATAAGCATAAGTAAATAAAACTGAAACATAGTTGAAGCATTTTAAGTGTATTCATAATTCATATACATATTGACAGGTTTCTAATACAGCATGGTTCTGATAGTGTAACTGTCTTCTTTGAGATTTTTTTTTACAAGAATAACAATAAAAAAAAATAATAAAGACAACACCATGAACGACTCACTTTGAAGTTTTATGGCAATTCTCTTTTGGATGTATTCTGTAAGTCCCAATTGGTTTCACTCCTTGCATTATTGTCCTAAACTCATTAAGGTTGCACCCACTTCAAGAGATGTCCAAGTGCTTACACATTTAGTCCCATAACTTCCAATTTGTAACATCTGCTCCACAGCGGGTCAATAGTCCATCTTAATGCCATCAATGACGGCCAAGATGGCAGGTACCGATGCACTGTCCATTCTTTCACAATTGTACTTGAAAAATAAGCTCGCATCCATTGTATTTTTCATGATCTGTACCGTAGGAATCCCAATGGTGAAAAATAAGAACACTTTTTAAATCCACATATTTGCAGTTTCTTTAGTTTTCACACACACTCACCTCTCATTCATACACATGAATTTTGAAAGGCAACAGATGTCCATTCTGCAAGGCAATAATGTCTTTGTGGCAAAACTCGACCCTGACGATCCATCAACACCAAAGGACTCCTCCCTCTCCAGGAATGAACATTAAAAATTTCAAAATGATCTTTAAATAAAAGTCAGATACATCCATTTCATCGTAATACGTAAATACTGATGAGGATACAAAATTATAAGGAGGTCTAAAATAAATGTCCAAATATAAGATAATACTCATCTTTAAGGATACTTCTTTCTATTTCCGGGTGCAACAAACTCCCAGTACATAATGAGAATACTTGAAAGCAAAGTTTACATGACAATACAGATGGTAATAATAAACAAGAGCTTTAAGGGCATTGTGAAAAATAAAGCCTAGAGAGCAGGTTGGTGTCCTTTACAAAAATGTTCTTCGTTGCACTTTGATCCGCTATTTTTTTTCCTTTCCTCAATGTTGCAAGTCCATTTTCCTGCATGGATAGATATTCTTGTAAAAGTGGTTGTGTAGTTTGCAGTCCTAGATGTGAATGATTCAGATTCCCGTTGAGAAATTGTACATTCCCTTGTTCTCTTACTATGTGCCAGTCCGATGCTTTTCTTGTTTGGAGCAGTCTGAAATACAATTCACTGGTCACACATCTGCAGGCCAAACCAACCTAAAAAGGACAGACAACACCAGTGGGTTAGCAAAGTGTTCAATTTCAAAAGGTTTGAAATCACTCATATCATTTGTATTAACGAGACACGTGACAAAAGTTCTTAGCGCTTCGTTACCTTTAATCAAACTTATCTCATTTGTCAGAGATAGAGATGTTTGCTGCCAGGTTCAAATGCAAATTGTGTGACTTTTTGATTTGATTTTTCCAGGATTAGATTTTGAAAACAATTTAATGAATTGCCTACATGTATAATAAACATGTAACATGTGCTTTAAGTAACTAATGTAGTGTATAGTTGAATACCTAAATGTAGTTTCCTTGCAGAGAGACTGAGAATATGAGGAGTGGCATAAATACTGTCATAGTACAGCTGTTGAGGTGAACTGAGGAGCAGCACAATTGCTGCGTGAAATTAAATTGGAATGTCTTAACAGAAAAGACACAAACAGCCCCAGGCCTTGAAATTAGAGTCCATTTAACCAAGGACCACTAATGAGAAAGCCGCTTCCCACCAAACAATAAAACAGATGAACATTTGTCAGAGCAGATCGAACCAATTCACAGTGTGCAGCAGCAAGACAGATTTCTCTGAAGCACACACACCCACCTGCAATGCATTGTTGGGAATAAATTTTAATAGTAATATGCCTTTTGCCCATGAACACAATGACAGCATGCACTGAGTGAGAGCAAGGATCAAAGTGCTGACCTTGATAAGAGATGTTTACATTTCTGCTAAACATGTATGTCTTTCTGCTCCCTTTTAAAGCTGGTTAAGTTTGATGCACTGTATATTGTTGAAAATGCAATATCAATCTACAGTACTATTTAATTTGTCTGTACAATTCATTTGTGAAAATACTGTATTTAATTGCACAGTCAATTTAAAGTTGTATGAATGTGATGTGTGAGTGAATGATTGGTGGTTGTTGATGGAGGCCGTTGGCACAATTTAGTAGTGACATCTCTTATCCATACTAAGGCAGCTGTGGCTTCAATAGTAATTTTCCACAAAATTAATCAATAATGGAATGTAAAGCACACAGAAGCATCTAGAAATGCACTAAAACTTGTGTTATTATTATACTTTTATACATTTTGCTTATTAAATTTAGAGATTGACCAAACCCATCACTGTGCACTGCTCTATCTTAAAAAAAAAAAAAAAAAAATTCTAAAGCTACAATTTTGACATTCACAGTCCTATTACACAAACCTCTAAGAGCGCTTGTAGTGCAGTCTCTTCTTTGCACTTAATTAGACAGACAGTAGTTTAGTTCAAACAAAGCTTCATGTATTTCCTTTAGTCATGTGGTCAGTTAAAAAAAACAAAACAAAAAAATATCGTCCAATGATGGAGTTTATAACTGATACGCTAAAAAGTATATGTATCAGCCTATCTCTAATAGCACTACAGATTACTTTTTTCTTTAGACTTACAGTTTCCATACTCAAACTGGTCATTTTCCTCTCTGCTCTTCTCAGCCTCTTTCTGACTGTTCCAGGTATACTGACTTGATTGGCCGGATGCTCGGGGTAAACTGCAGGAAAGATAAGTCAGCCACATTCATTAGTTAAAGGCTGTCATTAGTTGTCATTAATTAAAGGTTGTGAATGGATTTAGAATAAATTAGTGAAATGAAAAGTGACCAACCTCTCTTTCTTTACCTTGTGCTTCGGACACCGCAGTGAGAAATTATCTTCATTCAGAGAGCAGTCTGGATGGACAAGGGTTACTTGGTTAATACACACTATTTAAAGATTCTCTCAGTATACGACAGAGATTCTCTATCTCTGCCATATACCGTGGATGATCTCTGCTCACCTGCTTCAATAGCACATAGGTAGTGATAACGGAGTGTACAGCCTTTAGTGTAGCAGCCCAGTGTTGAGCCAACCATGTCGCAGAAGGAACAACACTAAGAAAAAACACAACATGAGTCACTGAAAGCTCACATGACTAAAATGAAGATGACTAGGTCAAAGTTAACTCACTGTTTCTCTGGCTCCATCTAGCGCTTCCTGCAGGCCATACAATTTTCCATTGACAAGATACACCCCACTGGTCCAAACAATACATGCTTCATGCACCCACAGCTCCTCTGGGTCCATAGGCATCTGAGGCAGCTGGGCAAGTTGAGCCAGGGGACCCAGGGAGTCTAAAGCAGGAGGAGGAGGCTGGAAGGGCAGGGAGGCCTTACTGTTTGATGGCACCATCCTTGGGTTCTTCTCACTGGACTTATGTCTTCGTTTAAAGCGGGGGTGTGATGTGAGTTTTCTATGCTGGGGGCGCAGCTGAGTTTCCTCTGGCTGCTTCTGCTGGTCACCTTCAACATCTGGCTCCCTCTTGAGTTCAGGAATATGCATGATGTCAACATTCATGTCCCAACTTAGACGGGATGGTTTGGTGGTACTAGATGAGAGGAAGGGAGAAGTGCTGCTGAATCTTTCCGTTATGTGCATCATTTCCTCCTGTGGGGCTGGGAAGGCAGTTTGAACGGTGCGGCTAAGATATGAGTCCAGGCTGACTGGGTAGTCACTGTAGTTTGAAGGTTTGGCATACGGCATAACTTCTTTTGTCTGCAAGTCTTGGGTAGTGCTTAGAGTATTTGAGCTGGTTTCTGAGTTTGGTCCTATTTTGTTGGCACCAGCAGGGGTTTGACACTGTCGAACTTGGGGCTGATTCTTGGGGAGCTTTGCAACATATTCAGCTGGATAGTAAGGCCCATAGAGATCTCCTAAATTCTTATAGTTTGCCCATTTCTGACAGAGGCAGCAGAGCAGGCGGCCCGAGTGATTGGTCTCTGTAATCACAGGGCCTGAAACAACATAACCAGATGAAGGAAGTGCTTTGCCTGACTGAAGAGTAGTTTCCACCTCATCTGTCTCCCTTTTCTCCGATTCTCTGTCTCTCCGAGATAACTGAGAAGAAAGAGCTGAGGTCAGAAGAGAATCAATTCCACTACTGCTGGCCTTCCCTCCAACGGCACTTCGCTCTCCTTTCATCTTGTCCTCTTCTGCATTTATTATAGTGCACACTGCTCCAATCTCAGGGACTTTATTCTCTACATGAATGTGTGGAACAAATGGTCCTTTCCTGTTTGGATCCAAACATGCTCGGTTAGTAAGGCCCCTGCCAGCATTTAAAGGTACATCAGGGTCATCTTTGGCCAGTGACGGCGGCATAGCTGCTGCTCCCCTCCTTCTCCTCCGCTGCTTTCCTCCTGCCTCAAAAGGCTCATCTTCATCCTTCACACCTCTGCGTCTTCTCCGTACAGGCTTGACCTCAAGCTCTGGCTGTGTGTCCTCACTTTCCAGATCGACCTTGGACACCTGTGTTAGAATTGGAGGGGCCAATGGAGGGGGGGTGGGGGTTTTGTTTTCCAGCAGTGGGGGAGCTCCAGACTCAGGGCTGCAGATGCCTTGTGCTGGTTGGGGTGCCATAGTTGCAGGTGTAGATACAGTAGACAATGCCGGAGGAGCATGGGGAGCTGCCGGCTGAGCTTGAGATGAAGTCTGTGATGTAGTCTGGCCTTGATTTTGAGCTCGTTTCTGTTTATTCACGCTCCCCACAGGCCTGCCTTTCTTTTTGCCAGAAGGGAAATAGCCTTTTGGCACCAAATTATCTTGTTGTTTCAAATCCTGTGGCGACAAACTGGACCTAGAAGAGGACATCTGATGTTGTCTGCTTAGCATGTGTCCTTGTGGAGGGGTGGTTCCATAATAGTCACTGCCAGGATAGTCGTCAAACCCCATGCCAGATTCCTGAAGTTTCTGTCGAAGGAGGTTTGCAGCAGACTGCTCTCCACGTCTAGTTTCGAGCTGTTGGTAAGTATTTGTGAAGTGCTGGATGTCTGAAAGTGCAGAAGAAGATGGTGGCGGTGAACCCTGAACTGGCCTTGGCAAAGGAGGCGGTGGAGGTAAAGGTCCAAGCAAAGCAAAATCCTCTTTGTCTCCAGAGGCTGATGCTGGGATTCCAAAGTCAAAATCTTTTTGTTTCATTGTTTGAGATGTCTGTCGAGAATCAGGTTTGTAGGTGGATGGGGCTAAAGCTTCATCAACTCTTTGAAAAGGAATCATGTCATTTAATGAGTGACCTTCATCCATGTATCCATCATCTCTTCCTGCAACCTTGGGAAAATGGGTCAAATCCTGGTTCTGTATATCATTTAATGGCTGCATTTCATTTGGGTGTGAAAAGCTAGAGTAATGATTTGGCTCCTCATCAGTATGGGCAGCTGGCTTTTTAATATTTGGTGTGATTTTCTGCACAATTGCCTCTAGTTTTAACCCTCGCCCCTTCCGGGGAGGTGTGACTTTAGTGTTACTGTTTGACGGAGACAATGCTTGTGAATAGGTATTCTCCCTGGAAAGAGGAGAAGATAGCCTGGGACATGAGATTTCTGAACTGGATGAGTCATCTTCATTGTGATGACTTGTTTCTGAGTGTGCCCCTGGGGAGTGATATGAGTTAGCGGTGGCTGCCCTCTGCTGAGGTGTATCCTGGAGTTGTCTTTTGGCTGGAATAGGTGAAATAAACGAGCGGACTCTCCGTCTTAGCATGAGTGGATTTGTGTCTCCAGAAGCACCAGCTTTAATTTGCCGTTGTGTCTGGGGAGGAGGGGAGTGTATGTCGGTTGATAGCTTAGCTGTGCTGATCATAGGATTTGGACAGGGATGTTTTGTTTCCTCAGTGGGACCTCTTGAAGCACTGAATTCTGCAGCATTTGAAGCTGGAGTTATTTCTGGAGGAACAGGGTTATGTGAAGCTACAGGTGGGGGAGGGGGAGCAAGAGGAGGGGGCTGAGTTCTGTAGAAGGCCTCTCCATCTCTCCCCGAGTGTGTCGCCTCCCATATTTTCATATCATAGAAAGAGCTCTGCATTGATGATCTATCACTAGCCATGTCAGGGTGTGACATCATTCTCTGTCTCTGCTCTGATTGGCTAATCTTTTGTCTTCCTGGAGATGAGCCAGGCTGCATCATTACATCTTTAGGTGTCCTGCTCATTGCCTTGAACCAGTCATTCATGTCCTGTGGCAATTGAAGTGGGGCACGTGGGTGAGGGGGGTACATCAGTTTGTTAGCGGATTGGCTCTGTCCAGATAAATTATGATAAGGATGATGAGAAGGAAAATGGGGTGTGTTGCGTGGCATCATGCCTTCTCTCATGTCCCCAAATGTATAGCCATGAAAACTGCTGCTGGCATTTCCTGTTGATAAATCCATCCCTCTTAAAAAGGTCTGGTGTCTTGATGGAGAGGATAAAGGATTAGTGCTGAGAGCATGTGGGGGCATAGGAGGTGCATCCACATTCCCTCGCCTGGACAGGTCAGTGTGGTGAATAGAGAGAAAATTTCCTGTATCAGCTTCTTTAGGTGCAGCCTCCACTTTTGATACTAGTTTCTCCCCACTATCCTTTTTACTCACATCATTGGCTGCTGCTGGAGAGGAAAATGGCTGTTGAATTACAGAAGCTCCACTTTGACTTTTCTCCCGTTCTCTGTCACTTTCCCTGTCCCTCTCTGGTGTGCTGCGTCTGTTGGGCGACATATCACAGATGACGGATCGCCGCTCTGATGGGGCTAATACAGAGGCGGATGGTTTCTGAGCCTCACTTTGCCCACTACTGCCTGTGAGTGGCTCAGGCTCTTGCAAAAGCAACTCTTGTACAGCAGAGGAGTGAGAGGAGATGTGAGAGAGTGCTTTTCTCTGTGGAAGAGAGTAGTCTGCTAAGTTTATATGTTTTGGTGGCGGCTGTTGAGCATCTGCAGCATGTGGTAAAGTACTTTTAGACACACCCATTTCATTTTTTTCAGTTTTTTGGGAACATTTTGCACCGGATGATTCTAACTTTACAGAGGCCTCTGCTGCAAAATCTGATTCATTAGCATTTCTCTGTTTTGGATGTAGGTTTTTTTCAGAACTACCCAACTGAGCATTAGTTGCATCACTTTGCATCTGCATACTTTCAGTCAAACTATACGGGTGTCTGTTTTGAAATTGATGTTGAAGATTGGTAGGATATACTTGTTCTGGTCTACCATAACGCCGGTCTAAATTATAACCTTGAAGTACCTCCTGCAAGAGACTTGGAAATTGCTGCATTTGTGCGTTATCTCCTTGAGCGGCTGTGGGCCCTCGTCCTCTCTTCACTGTAGGCTCTGCTACAGAACTAGTCTGTGATTGCTGGTACCCTGCATATTTGGAATTTGATTCTATTACACCCCCTAGACCCGTTCTTCCCCTGTTCTTCATTGACAAATCTGAGCCATATGTTGATTCAGGATAGCCGTATTTTTGTGGTCCAGTCTGGGACAGGTTTTGAGGCAGTCCTAAATGTGATCTCTGATGAGAAGAAAGACTCAAATCTACACCTTCTTCACCATTGTGGCTGCTAGAGTCCCGTGAGCGTGGCTGTTTCTCTTCAGTACTTTCTGGTTTGTTCTTTTCATTTAGACTGGCCTCAGACCGAGCTGACACAATAACCCCTACACTACTGGCACTTTGCTGCTCCTCCAATGTGTGCTTTTCTTCTCTCTCATTATCCTGTAATCTGGATGCGGCATGCGGTTTGCTTTCTTTGACCTGGCTATTTTGTGTTTTGATGTCTACATTTTGGCCACTCAGTTTCTGCTTTTTCTCCACACCATCAGCTGCATTTTTCATAATCTCATTTTTAATAATTGAGTTTTTCTTTAGAGAAACTCCATTCTCATTATATCCAGACGGATGTTCAGAAATGCTGTTAGGAAGAGAACACGAGATTGATGAAGGAGGTGAGTGGGGTTTCGGACCAGTCTCTCCTATTTTGGATTCTACTTCCCCTGCTTCTTTTGCCTGGGGGGCATTGCTTGTCTGCTGTTGACTCTGAGATGCAGGAGGATGACTTGTTTCAGAGCCACTGCTTGCACCACTCATCTGCCTCCGCCTTCCATGTTCCTCATCAGAAAACTGTTCTTCTTCAGGGCCAACCTCTACACCCACACCACCATCTTTAATAGTACTAGTACTAGAGGTGGCACTTGCATTTCTGCTCCTTGGTTGTGAAGGTGCAAGTAGCTCATCTTTTCCCCTTTTCTGAGAGAGCACTGTGTCAGTGAGAATCATGTGCTGAACAGTGTTTGGTAAATTGGCAACTTGGGAACTCAAGGCATTAAGACTATTTAGACTAGAATCTTGCATTTTGTTATGAGATGATGAGTAGACAGCAGAGTTTTCATCTTGTTGTCCGATCCCTCCACCTAAACCCATCTTATTGCGAGCTGCTGGAGGGACATTGCATCCGACCGCAGTTCTGCTATGAGCTTTGTGACTGCCGCTGCTACCACAACTACTAATGCTGCTATTGGAGTTCGGTGTGGGGCTTAATTGGGGTATAGTCTGCAGTAATCTGGCATGACCATGGTTGCTACGAGGGTTTGATATGGGAGGATGAGACGGGACATGACCTGAGGGTCCATGTGCCTCTGAGACCCCCATTAAAGGAGAAGGAGATGAGCTACAACTGGGAGAATGCACAGCAGAAGCGGCTGGAGAGGGGTTTGATATGGGACTAAAGTTTTGGTTCATTTGGGTTTGTTGCGCATTAGGAGGCATTGGGGATTTGGCTAATTCTAATGATGTGGTTTGAGGTATACTGGGATTGGAGGCCTGCTGATGTTTAGCATAGACGGTGCCTGAAGAAGAACCTTGGTGCTGCATCTTCAGCGAGTTGTCATAACCTACCCCTAAGTTGTGCTGAGAGGAGCGATGCTGCAGTGTGGCTTGCTTGTGAAGTGAATGTGTCTGTGGGGAATATCCAGCATAATTAGAAGCATGGTAACTCTGTTGAACATTCTCCATTGGACCCACATTGTTAGAAGCAACTGAACCAGAGTTTGAAGCTGCAGTCACACTGGGAGAACTGTTGATTTTGGGATCAAATCCGGTAGTGGCAGCTCCATCAAGATATCTCTGTGGAGGGGGGCTGTACATTCCAGATGACCCGGTAGAACCCCCTCCCTGTGGGGAGTATTGTGGATACTGGGGGGTCATCCTGTGCCCAGATTGAGGATAATTTCTATGCTGCTGATGGACAGACGGAAAGGTTTGCCCATGCTGGCGGTGCTGCATTTGAGAACTTGGCACTGACTGCATTGCAGGGTTCTGAGCCATGTTGTACTGGTGTGAAGGAGAGAAAGCGCCACCAGCTCCTCCACCCGTACCAGTTGCGGCGCCATAGTCTACTGGATAAGGTGACATGAGGCCAACAGGTGGTGTAGAGCCTGATCCAGTTGGTCTATACTGGTGAGGGATATGTCCATCCATATTGGGGTAGCCAAAGCTTGTTCCAAAACCCATCCCCATTGTCCTGCTCCTATCTTTTCCACCAACTGAAAAATAATATTCCATGGGAGCCTTTCTGTAAGGGTTATTGGAGTTGCCACTGTGCATGCTTGCATGTGCTGGCGGCAGCTCCACCGCGCCTCTGTTCCTGGAGCTGTAAGCTAGCATGTGGCTGGCTTGACCAGGGTGGGGATGGCCTCTGTGCAGGCTCTGCTGTTGCATCCCTGCATAATCATCTGTCATCCTTGGGGAAATCTGTGGTTCTGCTGGCTGAGAGGGATAGGGAGGCCCTGCTACACTCCTCCCACTAAATCCTGGGGGGAGAGAAGAGGGAGCAGGGCTGTTTGAAAAATTCTGCATTTTCCTTTTTCCAAGTTTGCAAAAAACACAGAAGTCTTTAAGAGTCTATAGCAAGGAATGTCTGGGATAAAAAAGAGGAATTTCTGTGGCCCAAAAAAAAAGAATAAATAGAACCCAGCACTGCCAGCAGTAAAAACTACGTTTTACAAGAAAGGTGGAGAATAAATCACTATGACCAATAGGAGGTTGACAGATTGGGGCATGTGTATCTGTCCAATGGTAATATAGGTTATGTGTTGGTGTTGCCACTTGGTCACTCAATAGCTCAAATATATAAGTTCACTATTATCAGCCTGAACACGTTTTGGCACTGTGTGTGGTACTTAAATGTCTTTAAATGTACAGGATTTGCTAGGACAGAACAATGTTCTGTTCCAACACCATTTTGTGCAAAAAGACAGCCTCAGTAACACCACTGAGCATTCATAAACGCAATCCATCAGTTGTTTTCATGAGCAGGTTTACCACAACCTGACTCAAACAGATTTGAGCTACACAATGCAGTAACTTGAATCAACAGGTCATAGTACAGCTCTCTACAAAACATTCCCAGGGGCAAGCACTCCATGACTTGAGTTCTTGAGCGAAGCAATACTAAGAGAGAAAATCCTTTTCTTGGTCATTGTTTCAGAAACTGTTTCTTTTTTCATTGTTCTTTCTTCTGCATCATTCATCTAGACTGCAGAAGTCTTTGGTCCATATACATGAGTTTCACTTTCTCCAACTGCACAGCCAGATCCTTTCTCTGTGTCTTGAGCATTTAGCCGTCCTAGCTCTCTTTTGATATTGAATGTCATTTAATTCTACCTGGTTCCATAGCAACAATTTCCCAAAGGGGGGTAATCCATTTATTCCACTTCAAGTTCAGTCAAGCTCTGTTTTTCTCTCTCTTTAGTGTTTCCATGTACAAGTCCTCCTCCTCTAGATGGTGTGGGCTTCACATTTCTGCAAACACAAAATAATTTATAATTAATACATTAAATTCTACTCAAACTAAAATTACTCAAATTAATTACAGTATATTTATTTAAGTCAGTTACAGAATAAAAAAAAAAAAAAAATTAAGGCAAATCATTCATCCCAAAGTTGTTGTGGTGAGGAGACAACCTGGTAAAGTACAGCAAAATACGTGCTCACAGAGTGTCTTGAATATAAATCAAGTTGATATGCTGAAAAATCATTTGAGACATTCAAGGTCACTTTTCACATGCAAACAAGTGCAGGAAAAAGTTATTACAATAGAACTAAAGGAATCAACTTACTTATAATCTTGTTATTATTAGAGTTATGTAATCTTGTTATTATTAGAGTTACTTACTACATTTCTTTTTTCCAGGGAGGCTGTGTGTAACTTGGTCTATGACAATAAATGTGTTAGCTGAGCCACCTCATCTGATCTGCTGATTTCATGAAATTATCTGGTTTGTTTATTTACCTTATGAACAGTGCAGGATTTTGCTCTGTTCAAGTTTAAGAGGCTTTTCGCAACAGTTAAGATACATACTTGAACTGTTGATTGTTGGAGTCTGCATGTAAACATTCAACAGTTTAGTAATTGTTCCCTCATTATAAATTATATATTATGTTCATCACAAATTAACAAATGGGCAGTCTCATCAGTTCACAACAGCGCAGCATTGATAACGTAGTCAGTACATTGGACAGGCTCCATGGAGATGATACGTAGGCTACATAACGCAGTGGGTAAATCATAGTGATTACACAATATTATTGGTTTATTTAACAAATACTACACTAGCACTTAAACAGCACTAGCCGAAAGCAACGTGTATGCATTAGTATTAGCAGCTCAATTTTAGCCGTGTAATGTTAGCCGTGCCCTACAGTAGTCTGAACTACAAATGAAACACACGAGACGCCTACTTCAATAAGTGCCCCAGTGGCCTGTATAGTGGGTTAGCATTGGAGCTCTTTTGTATTTATTAACTAACTACATGATTATAGCATATTGGTTGGCGTAAGCTAACACATACGAAAGCTAGTACGAGCCAGTTAGCTCAGAGGCAAGCAGTAAGCGTCTAGCTACTAAAGAGGTGATTGGGTACAGATGTTCATCTGACAAATTCATAGGTTATATGTAGATGCGTTAGCTAACAATATTGTTCACTGGCAACTGACCTGATGTGATGGCATTACATCGCAAAATAGTCATTACGTAGCCCGTGTTTTTTTAGGAGACCAGACTGGTGGAAGCAAGACAGTAAGCCTCACTAAGCTAACACTAAATGCATACCTGAAATGTAGCAATACAAGGCCCCTCGAAGAGTGAAAGGCTGTTTTGTGACACAATCCCGCTGCTGTGGCAGGAAACCCCAGTCTCCAGTCGACCGCTCCGCCGCTTTTCCCCCAGCCTTGAGTCCAGACAACCCCGAGGGGCCCGTCACGACACTCGGAGCCCGGGCCTTTCTGCCGATACCCGTTTTTCCTTTTGTCCTCACCTCCAAAAATGATGCGAGCTGAGCACAATCGGGGCGCCTGCCTGTAGGTCCCGTAAGCAACGAGGTCCATACACCCCCGCCCCCTCCCCTCTGTTCTTCGCCTCTCTCTCCTCTTCACTCTCCGCGGAGGTGATTCTACCTTTCTCCAACTCAAAAAACACACGTTGCTGCCATGTCGTCCGCTAAAACACCAATATTTCCCGCAGTTTCTTTTATGAATGGCGAATCTCAGTCATAGCACGTTGGTTGTGTGTGTTTTATTGAAATAGAAAGACCGCCTTAAAAAATGCACACACTAGCTTGTTCCTGCACCCCTCCCTCTCCATCATATTCTTCATATTCTTCCAGACCAACCCTCCTCCCTCCCAAAGGCTTTTGATATTTTATAGATTAGCTACTCCAATTCTTACTTAGACAACACTTGGCTCACTTACAAAAATAAGACACTGCCAAAATAAATTATGGTGTTGAGTCTGTGACTATACCATTGCCCTTTGTTCTTTTATTTTTTTCTATTAGCATAATAGGAAAGTGATTGCAAGATTAGACCTTTTGTGGGAATGGCTTAAACTCAAACTGATCTGCTGGTTTTTACATAACACAAAAGGCCATAAAATATCCAAACAGAAAAGGCACAAAAGCACCTCATTAATTAGGGACTGGCATACGCTATCAGTCTTATTGGCTAGACCTTTTAACAGCAATCACATTTTATGTTTTGCTTTTAAAATTTTGATTGTATTTATAGTACAGAAAAAAAAACATTTTTACAGTGAATAGACTTGCATCTCCATAAACCTGACTCTTTGGCCTGTAAGAGAGCCTTCTCCTGCTTGTTACCATGGAAATGTTGTTCCTAAGGCTATAACCTAATCTTCTTCAGTATGGCATAACTATGTCCATGCAGAATTTTCGAGTCTTTCCATGTCTCTGGAATCCTGGAGGTGACATGCTGCCTTCAGAAATTAGGCTACATATTGTAATTATTTTAATATACACCAGGATAGCCCATTAGCACTGACAGAATGGACATTGCCATGTCCATAAGTCAAGTGATTACAGATTGTAAACATAAAGCCTTCACAGCATCTACATTTTTAAAGTTAAAAGTTAAGTTCTATTGTAGAATTACCCCCCACATCAGTATTAATACATGCAGTTTAGACGGCTGTGCTGTCCCATGAACTACAGGCTAGTGAAAAAATGGCTTGTAAGTACCGTATGACCTTTGAGAAGTGGCCAGTGGGCAGTAAGAAAGTCAATGTTAAGCTTGCAGACTATTCATATTTTGCGAAAGGCTATGCAATACCGTTTTGGCTTTTTCATACATTTGACATGACCAAACAGACGGCACCATAGCAGTGGAGCTGGGCTACTTACTGAATTCTTCTCCCCCTATTTGTTGTCTTGTCTCCAACACTTATTTGTGCTCACACAAGGCCACCATCATAATGATGTGGCCTATGCCCCCTGTCTGCTCTGCTGCACTTCTAATGCACTGCAGTGTAGATGCACAAAAACACATCTTCAGTTTACTGGCCTACATGATACATGCTAATTGCAATCATCTTAAGATGACCGAGACAACAGCCCACAATGAATTAATGACTGTCACTCATAGTGGCGTATTCTGAGTTTCTAAACAACAGTTCAATACATTTCATTCCCTTGCAGATACACGTCTATTTCTATCACAGTTGCCATAGCAACTGCATCACAGAGCTTTAACTCTGGATAGATTTAAGGTGATGTATCTGCATGATTTTCACATGTGATTTCACACAGCAGCTTTTAGTCTGAGCGGAGATGTTTGGTGGTGATGCCATTGTTAGAAATGATACTGTGTCACAAAATGAAGATAAGGCATCCGAATACCCACTGTCTGTAACCTGCAGGCCTATCCAATCAACACAGCGACTGCTGGGATTCACACAGACCCTGCTACCGTACACAAGGTCATCAAAACTAACAACAGCCGCTTACAAAGAAGCAAGCAAGAAATTGTTTCTGTGGTTTGTGCATCAGTTAAATAAACAAATTATTTAGCCTATTAGAGATAAAGAACAATATGGAACAGATTAACATAGCATGAGCTAGGCAAGAGAATTACTAGGCTTATGTAACTTATTTTTTGGAAGTTGTAGTTAACTGCATGATTTCATGGAAATACAAATTTAAAACCATATTTAGATCAGTCTCTGTGGAGATAGAATAGTGTTAAGCCATACTGTGGAATATAGACAATGGAATACCATTTCCATAAACAAGCAAGGAGAGGCCTTCCTCCAAGTCAGGTAAGAGGCAGGTTTGTGGAGATGCAAGCCCAGTCACATTAATGACACATGTTTTTCTAAGTTTTTCAGTACAATAAATTGACCAAAATGAAGAAAAAAATGCTTTTATTTCCATCTATTTCTTGGCTAAACGTTAGATTCTGTGGTTAAAAGTGTGCATACCAAATGGACATAGGTATTTAAAACTACCATTCACAATTAGATTGACTGACCTAGCCCAAACCCGAAAGCACAGGTGAGTCTGAAGAAAAGCCAGGTAAGGGGACAGGGTGGAGAGGGGTGGGCAGGGGGGTCTAATAAACGTACAGATGGTAGCATTAAAGAAAAGAATGGGTCCATTTTTCTAGCAAATAAATGGCCAATTTGAACTCAGCTGGAGCAGAGCTCATGAAGGGAAAGACAGAGCAGCTAAGTGCCAGCACTGTGTTTCATTGTTCACCCTAAATAAACCCACTCCCCCGTCTGTCTACAGAAAAGTGTAGGCTAGGTCTTCTTCTGTGGACATAATGACACTGTCATCCTGATAAGAAAGTAGCCCTAGGCCTACGATGTAAATGCCCTCAGATGTTCAAAACAATAACAATATGGCTATGAAATATAGAAGATAATTTTTTTTTATTAAAGCAGTGATCTAAACATTAGGCTATATCCCTATAAAATTCTCTTTTAATGGTAACCGATATGTTTTTGGAGAGGATTAGTTAATTACACACACGTTTTGGTTAAGCAAGTCAAGCATCGTCTTTCGTTAGGCTAGATCTTACTTACACCGCCACAATTAAAGGGTATTTCTCACGGTGGCCACTAGGGGTCCTCGTCTTGCCACAAACACGTGCGGTGCGGCTCCACATGTTCTCCAGCGATGGACTCACTGCAGCAACACGTCAGAAATGTGGAAACGAATTATTTCTCTCCTCTCTCCCTCTCCCATCTCCGCTTCACCTCGGGAAAAAAAACAAAAACAAAAAAACAGTCTAGGTCTACACATTTAAAAGCATATAGACCTATTATTTCCCAAATGCACCACTCTAAAGACTTAACCTCTATCGTTGTAGTGACGCAAAGCCGCCAAAAGGGAGCGCTCTCTTTCCAAGTGGTTCACTCTCCCGGGCCTTCAAACCACTGAACTCGTCTCTTAGCAACCACAGCCTCCGATCACTACGGATACCGGGAGGGGGCAGGAGGGGCAGGAGGAGGGCAGAAGCATCTCGAGAAGCGGAGGCATGAAAGCGTGCGCCGCTGAGTGCCAGGTAACGAGTTGATTAAAGGCTTTCACAGGTGGATTATAGCGGCTAGGGGCAGGGCTGAATCACGAGGGCCAAGGTTCTAAAGGACATACGGAGCACATCGTTCAAAATCATCCACAATGCACAACAGGAAGTGAGTGATTGGTGCAATTAAGCCAGTTTGTCTTGAGGGCCCTCCATAGCTCTTCTCCTCCTGCGTGACATGAAACTGCTGCCGGTGCCGCCTTAACCATCATCGCTGTCCTTGCACCGGACGGACCTCTTGGTTTGATGGACTCCTTCTCTCAAGTGACATTGTCTAAAACTGCATGCTCACGGGAACACATAGCCTATACTTATAAATTAGTTGATCATGAATGCCTGGAAAAGATCTTTTTAAAGTTTTATCCTAAACAGTTGTGTTGGCTATAAGCAGGGTACAACCTAAGACAATATTTGGCTTTTGGAGTATCACAACCAAAATTTTACAAGAAACAAGCCCTGAATTTATTAGGCCTAAATGAACGCTAAAGATCAGACTCAGAATCTCCAAGATAGATGGTGCAAAATGAGACCATGGATAAAGTATGTCTAAATAATGATTAACCCATCAAAAGGGGACAACACATTTTCATAGCTCTTTCTCTGTATAAAACGCATATTTAAGTTGCAGAAGGCCTCACCCCCAGAGGTACACATGCCACAGTTTGAGAAACACAGGTCTAGTTTGTTTTCTTTACAGAAAGATAAAGATAAAGACAAACAATTCAAGAATTCCAGTCAAAATGAATCTTTTAATTGTGCCCATAACCAGGAAACTGAAACCCATGAATATCTGGCTGTGGTACTTTCTGCGTGCATTGCATACATGACACAAAACACAATTCTCCACACCTACGGCCCACAGCCCTGTCACCGGCAGAGTGCCAGTGACCTTAGCCTGCCCCCTGCGGTGCCTGTCATGTGGGGCAGTGCCACATAAACACACTTACACACACACACACACACACATACACACACTTGGGTTTAGACAGGGCCCCAGTCAGGACAGCGAACCATGTTCTACGTCAGGATGGAGCACGAGGAATCATCGAGGGCTGGCAGCTGTGCATTCAGATGACTAAAAGCAAGTGTGACATCAACACGCACATACAAGCTCACCGTGATGGCAACTTTGTAGAAATATCACTCAACAAAAAAGTGTTTGTTTTGTGATTGTGAACAACCAAGATGCAAAAGAACCACAGAAGTGTACAGGCTTATATCAACCATTATGCAGATATGTAAAACTCTGGTTTATGTCATATGCTTTGGTACCTGATTTTATCTTTCAAGAGGATTAATTCATTATTTGTTGAACATTTAACTACATTGCCAAATTAGTACATCTCAATTCTTCACATTTTTATGTTAATTTCATTTTCTATTTCTAGATTTTCTGCAGTTGATTTAACTTTGTCAAGCTGTGTAACCCATGCAGACCAGCCAAGAGCGTACTCAAAACATGTGAGTATGCAAGTATACATCAATGAGACACAAAATGTTGCTAAAGCCAAGATGTTACAATTAGCATAATTGTGGGCGAGGTGTGAAGAAAACAAAATAACTGAAATGCATTTATTGAAATGTGCAGCTTACTTTTACCAGGCTGATTATTAGAGATGATTACATTCAATTTATGAACCATTACATAGCCCTCATCACTTATGTTTGCTATTGTGCATGGGCGGCTTCAATGTTAAACTTCAGATACCAATGTAAA